AAACCCTAAAGTTACACAACTTGTTTATAGGCCAAAGAAAAGCCACTATTAACTCCACTGCAAAAGAAAAATCGGCTTAGATGGGCTAAAGAACATAGACAATGGACACCTCAACAATGGTGTGCAATACAATGGAGTGATGAGGTCCGATTCGAAGTTTGTGTTGGTGACAGTCGAAAAAAAAAGAAACATTCCACGTTGACTGACTAAGAGAAAAGTGAAATTTCCAGCATCCATTATGGTCTGGGGCAGTATGTCATCAAAAGGAGTAGGAAAACTTCATTTTATTGATGGAAATGTGGATGCAAACAAATATTTGGCAATTTTGGAAGAATCGCTTTCACCAGTGATGGAAGAATGTTTGACATCCGGCCAAGATTTTGTGTTTCAGCAAGATGGCGCAGCGTGCCATACCTCAAAAAAGGCTATAAAATGGATGGAAGAAAATAATGTATCACTTTTGAAATGGGTTTCTAGCAGTCCAGATCTGTCACCTATTGAAACTTTGTGGCACGAGATGAAAAAGGTTCTACGACAACATCCTGCTCGTACAATCACCCAACTGAGACAAAAGCTTCAAGAAATATGGGATTGTTTTACACCAAATTTTTGCCAAATCTTGGTTAACACTATGCCCCAAAGAATTTCAGCCGTAATAAAAAGTAATGGTGATGTTACCCAATGGTAATCTTTCAATTGTTGCTTTGTTAACTTCGCGCATTTATTCGCACATTGTTTATTTGTTCAGATGTTCTATTAGTTATAGGACTAAGTGATTTCAAATATGTGTTTTATACGACTAGAGGGTATCTAAAATGTTTTTGAGAAAATAAATTGTTTTAGAAGTAAATAGTTTCGTCATGTTTAGTTTATAAAGGCATATTTTGGCACAAATCTTGAAGTGGGCCAACTGAAGTGGGAAGGGGCTCGTAGGTATCGGTCATCACCTCTTGTGTGGGGTAAGGAGTTGCGTCATGATATGAACCAATCTTTTTTTGCTTACATACAAATTATCTGCGATGTTGGAAACCACAAATCAAAAACTAATTACTTGTTACTTTCAATGCCCATAAGGAGCTTTGGTTGGGCTCAAACAAGACCGATGCAGCAGGTCGTGCAGGACTGACCCAGCTGGTGACGAGCCCTACTTTTTCCTCGCGTTTCGTCACATGCACACATGCCAGTAGCCTGCTGGATCTCTTTGTGACCACGCGTCCTGTCCCTCACAGCACTGCTCTCCTGTCTCCCCTAGATAACTCAGACGCCTGTGTCGTGTAGGTTAGGTTTCGGTCAGAACCCGCTGTGGCAGCAGAAACTCGCCCAGGCCGCAAATTTTGCCATTTCGGACATGCCGACCGGCAAGTGCTCAGAGACTTCCCCACCTTTCTCTGGAGAGATGTTTGTCCGCGTCAGCTGTCTGTTCATCGATAACCGAAATTATCCAGATTGAAATGGAGGAATACATCCCTCAATACGAGGGTACAACGGCTTATTCAACAAACAGTGCGACACTGCTCGTCAGCAGAAGATTAAGCCTCACATGACCTTCTTACAAATCTGCACTGTAGAGAACAGGCGAGCCGACATCGAGTCCAGACACCAATACAACGAAGCGGTCTGCAATGTTAAAGACCAGCAGTAGGGCTGTCCGACTGATCGATGACTCTTCTCTAACAGTCAGTCTCGGGACCCTTTCGCATCGGCGCCTGCGGGCCGTCGGCGATCTAGCTCTCTTCTACCGCTAAGCCAACGGGCTTTGCTCCTCAGAGCCTTCCATCCTAACCGCGTCAAACTTCTTACGTACATGCAGAACTGGCCATTATAACCTCTCCATTGTCCCGAGGGTATCGATATAGTGAAACAATCTACAAGAGGAAGCTTTTCCCAGTTTTACTAACCTTAGACAGTCCAAAAATCGGATAAACAAAATTTCTGTGGGATCATCATAAGCAGCCGCGATGTCCAAGCATTTAGGCTTCTGCCTGCGCGGCTGATTCGATGTAAAAAAAAAATGTGATACTCTTTACCAGCGCTATAGCGATATGCCTATTTTGAATCAAACAGAACTGGGATGATATTATGGGTATTTAGTCTACTCCTTACAGTAGTTTTCGTAAGGTTTACATATGTGTAGTATAGTAATAATATGCAGTATTTTTGTGGTTTATTGCGTTACTTCACAACAGTAATCTAAAAGACAAATCACTTTTGAAATATAGGAGGTAGTTAAATTTTTTGGGGAGATTTTGTATTGTAGATAGGTACATCAGGACTAATATCGGTAGAGCTTGGCAGTTTTGGTAAAACTGATCAACAGCGAGCGTTACCATGTTTATGCACAGCGGATTACACTGATCAACAGCCAAAAAATATCCTAAATAAAATCAACAAAATATTACTATTTTAATGTGCTAAAACCGGAATGAAACTTATTTTTTCAATATTAGTTCAAGTTTTAGAGATACGGTAATTATATGTGTTCCTGCTGTGACAGTGTTAATATACTGTAATTCACAAGAATGCACGTGCTACATTTTTATATTCGGCAAGGAAAGATGATGTAATCGGCATGATTGTGTTACGTTATACATACGTGTACATTATATTGTTTTATATTAGCCATTTTTTCCTCAGTTGGCTGACAGCGTTCATGCAAGATGTCTCGAAAGTGTGTAAATAATCCAGATCAGTTTTGTTACGTGTATGGTGATGTGACTTTTGCGTCTCAGAGACGGTCTATTACTCCACTAATAACAAAGGCATATCAGCTTTATTTCGGTTGTAAACTAGGTGATCAAGACAAACAGTGGGCACCGCACATCTGCTGCAATACATGTGCTTCAAGTCTGAGGAGCTGGTTAAATGGCAAAAAACGGTCTATGCGCTTTGCTGTCCCAATGGTTTGGGGAGAGCTTACAAATAATATTAATGATTGTTACTTTTGCATGGTACCTTGTCTTTGACAAGCCACAGGTATGTCCAAGAAAAAAAAATCGGTTATTAACTACCCAAACATACCATCTGCGCTGAGACCTGTGCCTCACAGTGACGAACATAATATTCCAAAACCCCCAGAATCCTACACTTGCGAATCAGAAAACGAATCAGATCATGGCGATCGAGTGATTCGTCAGGAAGAAGATATGCCATCAACGTCAAGAGATCCTGATTTTATACCGAGCACGTCATGCCACCAACCGCACAAAATAACACAGTCAGAATTAAATGATCTTGTAAGAGATTTAGAACTTCCAAAATGTAAGGCAGAGTTACTTGGATCAAGACTGCAGCGGTGGAACTTGTTAGAAGACGTTGTTTCGGTATGTGTTTTTCGTAAACGCCACAAAGACTTAGAACTATTTTTCAATATGGAGAATAACTTGGTTTTCTGCAGTAACATTAACGGCTTACTGGCGGCTTTAAATATAAACTATAACCCAGAAGAATGGAGATTGTTTATAGACAGTTCAACATTGAGTTTAAAGGCAGTGTTATTGCATATTGGAAATATTTTACCATCTCTTCCTGTAGGGTATGCAGTTCACATGAAAGAATCATATGACAATATGAAGTACCTATTGACATGCATAAAATACGATGAGCACCAATGGCATATTTGTGGCGATTTGAAAGTTGTTGCACTTTTACTTGGGCTGCATCTAGGCTACACAAAGTTTTGCTGTTTTTTGTCTGATTGGGACAGTCGGGCAAAGGCACTTCATTACACCAGACAAAACTGGCCTGTTCGTCAATTCCTAGAGCCAGGTCAAAAAAATGTACAGCATATGCCATTAGTAGATTCGGAAAAAATTTTATTACCACCACTGCATATCAAGTTGGGCCTAATGGAAAACTTTGTCAAGGCATTAGATAGAGATGGGTCAGCTTTTCAATACCTGCGTCAGAAATTTCCAAGAGTAAGTGAGGCAAAGGTTAAAGAAGGTATTTTTGTTGGGCCACAGATTCGAAATATTTTGAAAGATACACAGTTTGAAAACACTTTAACAGGTATTGAAAAAACTGCTTGGAATGATTTCCGTCTGGTGGTTACTAATTTCTTGGGAAATAGAAAAGCTGACAACTATAAAACCCTTGTCATCGTATCAAAAGATGGGCTGTAATATGTCTCTTAAGATACATTTCCTACACTCACACCTGGACTTTTTTCCTAACAATTGCGGAGCCGTAAGTGCTGAGCACGGCGAACGTTTTTATCAGGATATTTCAACAATGGAAAAAAGGTACCAGGGAAAGTGGAATCCTTCCATGCTTGCAGACTACTGTTGGACTCTTGGTAGAGATGCTCCAGAAACGATCCATAAAAGAACAGCAAAAAGACAGCGCATATAGTGATTCTTATAAGTATATGAATCTTGTTACTTTTTTTAATATATCCTTAAAAATAAAAAGTTTTTTTTTCTAAACCGCAACTAATTTTTTTATTTCATTGTCATTTTTGGATTCAGCGCCCCAAAATTAACAAAGAAGTGCACTTTTCCCACAAGATACAATTAAAAAACTAAAATTTGTTGTCCAGTGTTATTGTTCACAAAAGTTGAAATAAATGCCATAGATATTTTGTTATAACAGGACGGTACCAACCTACCACATAGTCAAAGTAACTGGACTATTTTCTTTGAGAAGCCGTTGAGCATAAATGTTATCTTAACCATCCAGAGATAATTGAAGCCATGAAATACAAAATCGAAGTTGCCATTCAAAAAATTCGAGCGTAAACTATCAAAAAAGTACTTGAAAATTGAGTTAATCGTATGATATGTTGCTGCCACTTATATAATATTGAATTTCATTCTTAAAGGTCAAGGTTCAACTTTTCTATTAATTTCTTTTTGTATAGCCGATTGAAATTTCAAATTTCAAAAGACCCACCCTATACCTTTAGCTCTAGAAATATTGATACTTTTATTGAGTCACCATTCATAAAAATCGGCTACAGCTAGAATTCTACATTTTGCTCAGTCTTCATGTCTTGGTTCCAGATAAAGTCAAGAAAAAATACTCCAACCTGGGCCACACGGTGTTGATGGTACAACTTGAGCGTGGCGGGTCAGGCTTAGGTTTGAGCCTGGCCGGTCACAAGGACAGGAACTGCATGGCCGTTTTTGTTTGTGGACTCAACCCAAAAGGGGCAGCATACAAAGCGGGCTCCATTCAAGTGGGGGATGAAATATTAGAGGTAGGTATCATATGTTTTACCAAGAGATTACGATGATGAATCAAGTTACCTTTCAAACAAAAGATTTTTTTTTAAATATCGATGATACACGAATTCGTTTTTTCTTAGTAGCTCATGCTATTTCTGTGGTATCGACATAAAAATTGGGAACCAGTTAGGTTCTATTTTTCAATAACTTATGTAGAAGGCTCTAGTTACAGCCTATAATCTAGCAATTTTTCAGTAACGTATTCGAAGGCCCCTCGCAAGTCTGAACAAATTGTGAAAGCGTTATTTATTCATCCTATAATTTGCACAGTAGGTAGTTTCGAGTTTGCGGATTGGGAATTTTTGAGGCCAAAGGGTACCGACCTTCGCTTTCAATATTTTAACCATAATAAAATATTTGCTAGGGCTCCAAATGTAGGATTCTAGGCACAAAACATTAATTTCAACTGCGGATCCAGATACACTGTGTAATTTTTACCTTTTCTTCTTGCCCTGCGATTAAATATCGATATTTAGTACATGATTTTTTCAAACTCGTAGATGGCAGTCTCAAGCATTTCAAAATCTATTTTTAAAGATTCAATAGTCATTTTGTATTATATGGAGATATATGCAGAAATCTATATTTTGTGATGTAAACGTTACTTTGCCTTTTGGGAAAAGCGATTTTCCCTGTCAGATATATTTTCATCTTTTATCAATTACTCCAATATTTTTTAACCACGTCGCTGCAAACATACTGAAAAATACACGAAAGTACGTTTCCCACCTTCATAATAAAATTTTACGTACGGATATTTTCTTTGGAAAAGCATGATTTTGCTATTTTCAAGTTCTTTAAGGGAAAAACAATGTTTATGTACCATTTTGCAGAATCCTATGTAAATTCTCTTAGAAAAGCTCGGGTTTTATGGGCAAAATGATATCCATTGTAATGATTTTTCATTCCGAAATTTGAAACACAAAGCTCGTGACAATCAAACTAAAATCACAGAATACCCCTCTTCAGAACGAAAGGTCAAATAGATTCACCTGCGTTAGGTGCGCTTTCTCTTGTGAGATATATGTTAGTATATAGTTAGGAAGCCTTGGAAGTACGAGTTATAATTATTTTCAAAATAACTAAAGAAGCAAATAACGTGTTTTAGTTGCTCATCAGAACTATATCTTTTGATCTGAAGAAAAGATATTATAATTGAAATACAAATACAAAATTCAGTGCTAGGGTGGGAGGATACATGTTTTTCACTTTACAATAACTCCAGCTCATCTGCAGAAAATTCTCTTTCACGAATATTATGCGAGATTCAATTGCCAAATTGTCAAAGAAAAAGAGACAGGGAAACAGAAGAGAAAAGAAAAAGAGCAAAGAAAAGCAGAAGTGTATTAGTTTAAGACGAAACACCTAGGCTTTTTGACTTGGTAAACGGATTAATTTTCAGGTGAATTAAGGCGGCTCCGACGCAGTGAGTTTCGAGCCATTTACAAGGGTTCAGCTGCTTCGAAACTGACACTCCATTTTTCAATATTTCTGATTGAAATTCATACAGTATGTTCATAAAATAATTGCCCAGGGTGCTATACTTTTTGAAATTTTGTTTATGCACAAGTTTTATGATGGGTTGAAGTGCGCACTTTTTCTGTTCAACTTCGCGATTTTTTTAAAACGAATCTAGTGAAAAAATGAAAAAGTGGCTCTATAGCACTCTGTGGAGTTTTGTTTTCAGCACACTGTGAAAATTTCATTCAAAAATATCAAAAAATAAGGCGTCAATTTTGAAGCGCGCAAACCTCTACAAATCGTATTTTGGACGATTTTTGTCTAGTGTTTCGTGCTGCCAACCCAAGCGTTCCGGCGCAATGTACGGACTAAGAAAGGACGTATTCAGATAATTTGGTGGCCCTATTTCATAAATAGGTATTCATAATCGCGATCGCTGATACTCCTCGATTTTAAAGCCGCTTTACTTCCCGTGCCAGTGGCGAGGAAGTATTGTAATCGCGAAAAATTTCTAAAATGAGATGCTATGTTTTTTAAGTCATATGACATCTACATCACGAAAAACTATATCACTCATCATCAAATTTGAAATTACTGCTCGGATTTTTATAAAATTTCCACACTAGTATGCCAAAGCTTTCTGGTTTTACTTGAATGGCAAGGGTGCTATAGGCAAAAAAGAAAAAGTGACAATTGCTGAAACTCCGTTTTTGACGTTACAGGGGTTTCTTATCATTGACATAAAAAGAATGTACTGCTTAAAAAGTGAGGGTTGGGGGCAGGTGATTCTAAATGTTGCATCTTTGATATCAGTGAAACACGTTCTATTATTAAGAAGCTTCTGGTCAGAGTGATTACAGGAAATTTAAGTAACGAAAATCCGAAGACAGTAGGGAAGAATGAATTCGGATATCATTACAGTCGAGTATAGGGGAATTTAGCGTGGAACTTTAAAATTATCGATATGTCAAGGAAATATGTTTTTGAGAACGATAATTTGGTAGATTTTATACCTGAATTTTCATTTGAATTTCATGACCCGTGAAATGTATCCATTTCGCCGTCACCTTCAACTTGTGTTCTGCAGTTTGTGATGTTTTTCTGGAAATAAGCAGGACATAATTGCCTAAGGTGCTATCAGAGCTTTTTACAAAATTTTGAGTTTGTGCAAGAATTATGGTGGGTTGAAATGCTTACTATTTGTGCTCAACTTCCTGATATTTTAAAAAGATCCTAGTGGATAAAATCGAAAAAGTGGATCGTTAGCACCCTGTGGACTTTGTTTTTAGCACGCTGCAAGAGTTTAATTTGGAAATAATAAAAAATTAAATGTAAGCTGTGAAGTGCAAATCGGTTTTTGGGCGAAATTCGTCTACTGTTTCGTCCTGCCAGTCCAAGCGACGCGGCGGTGCGTTCCGACTAAGAAAAAATGTATTCAAATAATTTGATATCTTTATAAAATAAATTCAAGAACTCAAATTCAAATTCGTTTATTCGTGTCAATAAACACAATTATGTTTACAAGGGCCAGGTGGTACGTGGTAACAATTGCACGAGGGTCATAAAATTATATTATGCCGTCAAAATAAGAGAAAACAGTTAGGTAGTTTTTGCAAAGCAATAAACAGGTAGGCCTATACCTGTATTAAGTACATTTCTTGTCTACTGTAATAGGTAGATGGAGGCGATGCTGCCAGAAATGGATTTGTGAGATCAATTAACAATCCACAAGATTGAACTGCCGTGTCCAATGATTTTTGAATTGCCTTTTTTATTGCCTTACTAGAAAACTCTGTTGGGTATATGATGGACTTTACTAGAACTTTACAGCTTGTTGTCTGCCTTCTTCTACAAATCGAGACGCTGTCAACCTTATCCTCCGATGAAGACGCCACAAAGTACAGTCCTGTGATTTGGTGACTTGTTCGATCTGCAAAATCTCGTCTTCACTTTTTTTAAGTTTCCCTAAAAATTCTTGCAACCTCCAAATCAATGTCGTTCATGACAGGTCTTTGACAGAATTCTCCATAAAACTACTCATTTTCTTTAAACTCACTGCATTCGTAATTAAAATGGTCGCATATGACCTTTTATTGTCCATTATCAACCTTGATAAAAAAAGGCACTCAAGAACAATCACACCAACAAGAGTACAGCACAACAATTCAACAACACAATATCGACGACCAGTTACAAGGGGAGAAAAATACTAAATTATCACTCATTACCAAAATAGGAAACGATTTACAGGCTAGATCGCTAATCGAAATCCGACTCTGTTATTATAAAAATTTACCTTGGTATGCACCCGCAGTCATGCTTTCCTCTTTTAAAGTAGCGCCGACAACCGTCTAGGGCCAGCCCACTGTCGTTTCCTTTTCACCACCCCCCCAATTACCTCAGCAGATGGTCCTCGTGATTGTAGGAGCCTCGTTAAGAACAAATTTGATTCAGGTTTCCTTAGAGTGTAATTTTGAGTTCACTAAAAGTTCGCGCTATTTTTTGATCACAGTCAGACCCGAGTTCTTGAACGTTTACGAACTTGCTCCACTGTGTAGTCCACTGAGTCACGCAACAGAGGGTTACTGTGCGATTCCGCTTGACTATAACGTCGCTGCGCCGGAAGCTTGAACAATCTGAGGGGTAGTGTCTCGTTTGACAAATGGTTGGTAGAGTCCTGCTTTACAGTACATGAACACTATGCATTTGTGTCTTTACAAGAAAACACCAAGCCACACGTGCATAAGTAATTACTGGTCTAATAATCATCATTTCAAATAGTCGAATTTTGTTTATCAAACTCAATTTGGAGGATCAACATAACAAAGGCTATAGTTGCCGAAATGCAATTTAGTATTTTGTTTTCAACGCTGTTGTATGTTTCTGCCAGGTCATGCCTTTATCAACGGTGACACCGAGATACTTGGCAGAATTTTTCCATGGTATACGATTTCCGTCTACCGAAATCTCAGCTGAATTTTTTGTATAATTATTTAAAAGTGCTTTCCTCCTGAAATATCGCCGCTCTTTTTTTAATCACCCTGTACTTTCGATTTTAGGTGAACGGTGTAGTTTTGCATGGAAGATGCCATCTGAATGCTTCAGCGATCATCAAAGGATTGTCAGGGCCAGTATTCAAGGTCATTATTTTAAGGTAAGCAAAATACATGTTTCCGGACGAAAGCTTAGGCTTCAGCCACCGAATCCCTCTGACCTTCTGTTGCACCATAAATTGACTAGTCGATCTTAAGAGCAGCTGTGTTTCGTACCTCGCCTACCGTATAGTTTCTTGATTTTCCAACAAAATTTCTATTATTCCTGGGTTATCATAGCTATTTATAGATCCATTACTTAAGTATGTCATATACGCCTTAAGGTAGGCAACCAGTAATGTTACTTATTTTAAGAACGGTTATTGAACATCGTTGCCAAATATGCTACGATTGTTCTGAATATATGAAATAGCTCAGTCATTTTGGAAATTAATATGATTTAAGCATTATTTCTAAATCGACATATTGTGCTTTTTGAATGATGCATGTCACTTATTTCCATCGATCCGTCTATGGCCTGTTCGGGAATCCTTCCTCTATAGCTAAGCTCGGACTTTGATGAAATTCAGAAACAGGTCACTAACGTGTCAAGGACAAAAAAGCTTTGCCGGTCTTAAATAATTATAAAAAACAAATATTCCTTGGCTCCTCCACAGCTCGCAGTGTAACGCAAGAATAATACTATATAGTTTAGGGAAATGACTTGTGAGTTTCAAAGATCGGTGCAGAAACGTCCCAGTTTTGAGCGAAAATGGAAAACTTGACAACGTGTTCAAACCAAATTAATTCAATGTTTTATGACAATTTTTGGGTTGAAGGCCTTTTCGCATACTAAAATAATGTTGGCTGCTCAAAGTTTTTGAAGTTAAGAATATTCACATATTTGATAAACATTCTTATCACTAAAGAGGCTTACATTTTTTCCGTAGCAATTTAAAACATTTATTATTTGTGTGTACGTGCGTGGAGAGTATTACTGAGTCAGTTCTCTTGACCCCACTTTATTACGTGCGTAGAAATACACAAAGCTAATCGATTGCTGGCTCTGTTACCATAGGATGTTTGAAAAAAGTTATTCACAAAATTATAAGCAAATATACGTTCCTCACTTGGAAAACATGGCGCTCTCTACACAGTGATTCATAAGTACGTGGCAACAGAAGCATACATTTTGTAAATGTGTAATTCAGTATATTCTGGAAGGCCTCTTCAAATGAAGATCTAGCATAGTACAAGGTTTGCATCACTACTTCTGGAGTTGCGGGATATTTTGTCTGAAAAAGTGTCTCTCAACGTTGATTACTTGTAAATCAGTCAATTTTGCAGACAGAGTACTAAAGTTTCCGTCAGGATGAGTTTCAAATCTCATAGTTTCTCGTCATTGGAACGTTTTTTAAAATTTGTCATCTATACAGGGTGCTTGTACACGCAAGTCTCAAAAAATCAAATTAAACACCCTATATATTTTTACGGTTTTGGGTTATCGTTTTTATTTTGAATTGATTTTTTAGCTGGGAGGTTAAAGCACTAAATGTTTGAGTTAGTTAGTTTTCCAGAAATTACAATTCAAAATAAATTTTTACTGAATGGATACAAGCCTTCATTACCATTCACCGATTGCAAAACTTAAAAACCCACCCTACATGTGTCAGTCGGCTTGTTTCGAATTGTGTGCCGTTCTATTGGGTTATTTTCTGTCTGTTTCTCGATCTGTACGTTTTTAATAATAAAGTATGGAAAAAAATACCTTTTTGTCGTCCAGTCTACATTTCTGGTATCTCCAGGACTTTGAGACCGCACAGTCTGGCAATGCGGTTAAGATATCCAATGTTATCTACAATCCAGTTTGCTGTACAAGCATATACATATATACATTGAAGTTGTTTAGTTTTCGGTTTTATACGCTCTGCATATGATTTTGCGAATATAATTTTAACTCGACGCATTCTTTCGGTACTGTACAAAGTAAAGGTGTTTATGCTTTTACAAATCGCATATCGATGTTGAAATGTTGTGAGCACCGTGTTTTGGAAAACCTTCTTAAATGTTGCAGTTATCTAGTATAAAGAAAAAGCTGCCGAAAGTTAGAAAATTGTCCAGTATAGTGGATCTCCGCAGGTCATTCAGGTTAGATTTTTGTTATTTTCTATACCAATTTGCACCTGTGGAGAATGTGAGCACATATTCATATTGCTCCAGTAGAGACATCTCAATAAACCCTGTATAATCAATATATTCTTGATTATCTCTTATATTTTAGGGTTACCATAGTCCACACTATTTTCAATCGAGACATTATCCAGATTTCCTTGTACACAAAAGTGTAGAAAATTTGAGTGGGTAGTATTTTATTCTATTTCATTATAACTATTTTTATATAAACTACTGCGAAATTCCATTACATGTAAATGTGTCTTAAATTGTACAAATTTGTTTGTTCAAGGATACTAGAATTCCAGAATGCTTCCTTAAGGCTGGTCAGTAATAGTAAATAAAAGCTCTACCAACAGTATCGATCAAAGTGCCGGTTCACGTGGCAACGTGTGAGCAAAAATTTGTAGAAATTCAGTTTCCTTAATAATTATTCCCTAATTTCACCGGCCTACTGATTTTTTTTGCAGCTCCCTGTTGATTTAGTAATGTCATCACCCCCTGTTTGCCGATAAATATTGAACAATCCAAAAACCAACATATATTAGTCCAAGAAAACTTGTACAAAGAAGGATTCATAGATCAAATCGCCATGTTCGTTATCCGTTATTTAAATAAGAAAGCAGATAATGAGAAGGTTACCGAGAATAGGGGAGAGTTTTTTCTCAAAATAAAGTTATAAAAACATATTGATTGAAATATAATAGAAATATGAGTTTAAGGCGGCTCCGACGCAGTGAGTTTCAGGCCATTTACAAGGGTTTAGCTGCTTCGGAATTGACGCTCCATTTTTCTATATATTTGAATAAAATTTATACAGTATGTTAAGAAGACAATTGTCCAGGGTGCTATAGAGCCACTTTTCTAAAAAAAATTTTTTTCAGGAGTTATGGTGGGTGGAAGTGCAGATAATTGTTGTTCGACTTCTCGATTTTTTAAAAATAACCCAGAGGAAAAAACGAAAAAGTGGCTCTATAGCACCCTGTGGAGTCTTGTTTTTAGTGCACTGTGAAAATTTCATTGAAAAATATTCAAAAATGAAGCGTCAATTTTGAAGCGCGAAAACCTCTGCAAATAGGCTTTTACACGAATTTTATCCACTATCTCGTGCTGCCAGTCGAAGCAACGCGGCGGTGTGTACGGACTAAGAAAGGACGTATTCAGATAATTTGTTGTCCCCAAGTTAAACAGTAGCAGTTTTAACGTCGGTCGTTCGAGATAAACATCGGACCATTAAGTGATATTTTTAATAGACTTCAATGAAAGAGGGGAAAATTTTAATCGATTTTGATCATTTCTTTTTATACAATAGGCCATGCTTCAGAGGTGATACCACAAAAAATCATTTTTGTTCAATCACCCCAATATGGATATCAAATGGAAGCACTTGTACAAAACAGTAATACGAAAACAGTTTCAAATCAAGATGGCGGCCGTTACAAAATGGCGGATAACATACTTGCTAATATCTCAAATAAGAGTCGTCGCCTTGTAGAATACAGTACTTCACTAAAAATTTGATTCCAAGATTGCCGGATTGCCGCCGTTTCGAAATTGCGAGTTACATATTTTTGTACAAAACCCCCAATTTACATATCAAATGAAAAGACTTGACATGTGTGGTAAAATACAGAACTTTGTGACCAAAAGTTTCCAGGTGGTTCCAGGGTCATTGGAGGCGGTAATCTTTTTAGTTAAAAATAATAATTATAGTGAACGCATTTACCACAAATAAAATGTCACTTGCTGTTTAGCTTTAACCTTATGGAGTATCGTAAAATAAACTTAACACGATAAGCGTCATGAGATATAATGCGTGTGTCGCAGCTCATTTGGCGCTTTGGGCCTCGTGACACACATGATATGTCTCACTGCTGGCAGTTATATTTGGCCGCGTAACGTAAGACGTGTGCCATGCTGATGTGATTTTCTTACGGGAACCAAGAGTCCGTGGCCTGAGGGACCAAATTATACTGAATTGGAAATGAAAACATTAAAAAACACGTTGTTTATAGAGTTTTACAAAAAGAGGATATTCTACAAATCTAAAACAAAAAGCAAATCTTATAAAATAATCAGACATTCTCATTCAAAAATGAACAAAGTAATTTCACAGCAAATCAGTAAGTTATGGTAAATGTCGATATTCTAACGAACACAAATATGGAGGAACTCTTATAAACTAAACAGATTGACAAAGTCTTATGCAGGAATAAACAAAATACCGGTATAAATAAACAGTAATACAGATAAATATGGAATTACTACAACTACTATCTGATTCACTACCACTTGGAGAATACGCATCAGATAAGTATACATCCCCACATAACTCAGTACTGCCACTCTCTTCATCCGATAGTATTTCATTACACAATTGTTCAAGCCTTTTTTGCTCCGCTTCGTAATGCGACATCACAAATTTGGTATTCAATAATTTATAAACAGTAAAGCAATTTGGACAAGATGACGTACAATACCAACAACGCTTCAATAATAAATGACACGAAACAGTGCTCAACGCGCGACATGATGCAAGTCTTGACTTGCAAAAAACGCGACGCGACTTATGTGCCACGCGACCCGACTGGTCTGTGGGCCACGCGACATACAATTAGTACCTCAGAAAAAAAAATCAAAAAAGGGGAAAAATCATAGGATTTGAGAAAAAAGTCAAGTCAAAATATTAAACCGAAACTTAAAACAAGCTAATTTGACAATAATAACAGTTTGGCCCAGTGGACTGGATTTTCAGATTCTACTGTGGCGCTTAACGTGTCAATGTGACATTTCAATATTCGCCATCTAACAGACTAGATAAAGCTAGCCGATGCTACGTGCTATTGAGCCTGACGATTGACTTTTATTTAAATAAACAATATATACATAATATACAATAAATAGTGAACATCTGGTACTAGTACCAAAATGGAAGAGATTAGCATAACATCTCGCACATCGCTGCTAAAGCGAGATCTGCACACCGCATTTGCCGACACGAAGGGGTTAGTAACGGCGTACAATGTAATATGCTAATCTCTTCCATTTTGGTACCCGAGTACAGCAAAAATAGCCAATTCTCAAGAACTCTTTTTCTTGTTCAAACGGTTCTCTTGTGCCTTCAAGATCACATCGGGATCGCGGATTGGCATATTTCTGCTTTTTCTGGGATCGACCAGTTCTGGGAGCAAGCAGTTCATGTAGAAGAATTTCAATTTCTCTTCCATTTCATTTTTTCCCGAAAACGTCATCCTTTCGAATGACGTCTATTTTCAAACCATACGGGGTCCAAACACCAAGCACACAGTGCTCTCTTTGTGCAACGTGTAGCTGCCCTTGAATTTGGTAATACCACTTATGTATTTTATTTATTTCATCGTTTATCCAAAACGTAATTTTTTTGTCCAGAATGCCCTCTTCAGGGGTCATTTCTCTAGCCGACCATGGACATTTAATTTCTAGCAGACCTTTTTCGCCTATCAAACCATCTGGCGATGCTGCCAGAAATGGATGGGTCCTATCAATAAACAACCCGCAAGATTGTACTTCTGATTGCGAATATGATTTCTCTATTTCTGATTTTGCCACGCTTTCATGCTTTTTTCCATAGTCACATGCATTGCTAAAGAATTCGGTTGGGTATATTATGGCGTTTACTAGAGCTCTGCAACTTGTTGTATCTCTTCTTCTACAAACCTCACCGAACCGAGACGCAGTCAACCTCATTCTTCGACGAAGACGCTACAAATTGCAATCCTGAGATTTTGTGGCTTGCTCGATCTGGGAAATTTTGGAGTCGGTTTTTGCAAGTTTTTTCAAGAATTCTACCTTGGCAGCCTCTATGTCTTCGTTGCTCATGTCAGGCTTCTCACAGAATTCCCCATAGGATGCGTTCTCTTTAGTATCACTATCTCTGATTTTAATTTTCCTTGGTTTCAGCTTCCTTTTCAGATTTTTGTGCGCTCTCCTTTCTTCAACTTTAGCAATCAAAGAGGTTGGACTGAAACTAGGGAGTAGCCGCTTTTGGATCACACAAACAGGTCGCTGTGTATTGTGGCTCACTACGGCTGCAGCACATCTTCCTTGGTAGGATCTCTTCTTGCAATAATTAATCCGTTTACCCCCAATGAATTTAGCTATGATTGAGTTAAACTGCTCTACAATACTATTATCGACGTCATGAAGTAAACTTACTGCATTTTTAATCAGAATTGCCAGAAATGATATCAGCCTCTGGTGCAAATCTAAAAAAAAGGGTATACACACCTGAATTTGAAGATCCATGCCATCTGTCTCTGTTAGAGAATGCATATGCGAAACCATGCTGTCATTTTTAAGCTAAAATAACATATAAAATATAGTTATAATAGTAACTACGTATAGTCTAATTTATTGGCAAAATGAATGCTAAAATTCATAATTGTTTTGGTACCTACTTTTCTATCTGGAAAACGTTTTTTTTTCCTGTGCGTATTTAAATGCGGCTTCTTCGAGACGCCATGTTTATTTCTCTTATTGTTCATTTTTGATACCTTGATAAGAAAGACACTCAACAATAACAGCACAACAATAACAACACAACAATAACAACACGATAATACAACAATACAATAACGGTAATAAAAGTAATAAGGGCTGAGTATACTATGCGCCAAAATAGGGAAACAGTCGTACGCTAGATCGTATATCCAAATCAAATCCGACTCTGTGCAATATGCAAATTCAACCAGGCACGCGAACAGCACACCTCTGCGTATTACTATCCCTTTCTAACGTAGAGCGCTTGCCTTGTCACAACGCCGTCCTACTAGCGTTTCCCTATCACCCCCCCGATTCCCCTCAGAAACTCTGCTTGACTGTGAGAGCGCCGTTAAGGCCCGTATCGTCAGTCCTTACAATTGTAGGGCGCGTTTATGGCCTCCTTGATTGTCATACTTCTTTCTCTACTTCAAAAATTTCGAGACTACACTTGTCCCGTGTCAGCGTCAGCGCTCTCCTATTGTGAAGATATGTTTTCTGTTTAAATTGTACAAAATTTCAGGCTGATAAAACATGATATAACTCAAAAGCAAGCACAATTTGATGCAAATAGATGTTTGTGACATAACCTCAAAATAGAGTTCTGACACGGAGAAGTAGAAAACTATGACAATCAAGGAGGCCATAAAGGCGCCCTACAATTGTAGGGACGACTGACGATACGGGCCTTAGATAACAGATAAAATTCACTGCGAGACATAGGCAGTGTTCTAAACGAATTGAATTATTCTTTTTTTTGTTATACCTTGTCTTTTCACGAATATCCATTACGGTAGGATAACAGCTGATTATCTAGTAATATTCCAAAATTCCTTATATCCACAAGTGACACACAATTCTGAGAGATCCGCCTATGGATTCGTCAATGCCAGGTAGATAGCCGTATTTTTTGTAGTTTTTTGTATACTATGGATTCATTTTGTACTTGCTGACTACTATTTTATTTAGAAAAGTGCCTTCGCATACAACAAATGAATATAGTCCTGAGTTTTACCAGATTTACACCCGACAGGTTATTGCAAAAGTTACAGTCTAATACAAATATGTCACCTACTGATCAGTTGTTCACCTCAGTAGACGTCAAAAGGTAATTGATTCTCGTGAAATAGGGTAGCTATATATACAGCTAGGTGCAGATCTGAGTCAATGTATCGCTATTGTTTGATTATATCAAAAAAAATCCTTGTTTAATAAAAATGTTCTAAAAATGCTATGATGTTACGCAGAAATCCACTGACAATACTGATCGTGTTGTTTTACCGTTTCCGAGATCCCAAAAGCGAGGTTCGAATTTGAAACACACGTAACATTATAGTGCTTTTAGCCATACTAAGTTTGTATCTAATATATTTTAACTGATCCTAGTATGAATGAATAATTTAATTTTTGTAAAAAAATTTAATTAATAACTAGGGAAAAGGCGAGGCAGCTGTCCCCCTTGCCTCCCCTGGATACGCTCTTGCATATTTGGACTATTTCGCAATGTATTTCGAATATGATCATTCAAAGATTTTCATAAAATTCTAAAATTAGGTTACTACTGTAGGACAAGCACGAAAAACTTAAAACTATCGCCAAAAAATGAAAATTGGGCTATTAGACATCATCTGTATTCAGTTTAATTTTCCAGCGATGACCTTCGTCGTAAGAATGTTGCCAATGTAAACAGTTTCAAAATTTATAACCCAGTGAAAGGTCCATGATAGAAAAGTCGTCGAGTATTTAGATTTACGAGTAAATTCTGAATATTATGCATTTATGCTCAAGGATGACTCGATCTTAGTAGTAATAGAGAAAGCGTTTTCTCAACAATTTTTTGTTTTGTTTCAGACGAAAAGCTGCCATCGAAGACATCGCGGTAAAGCCTATCACACATTTTCCCATTTCGCTATCAGATGAGGTAAGATACCTTAACGAATATCTACATTATTATAAATTATGTATATTCAGGGTGACTTTGAAGTTGGGTCATTAATTTTCAGATAATGATTGTAGAAGGAAGATAAACCAAAATATGTGTGTAAAAATAAAAAAAAAATTTTTTTACCTTGTTTTATAAAGTATCCTCCCGACAAGTATTTCAGTGCGGACCTGTATTTGATCGTGAGGTCTTGGAGCACCGGCATGCAGTCCCCTGTGTGGTCTTAAGTCACCTGATTCACGAGCCCGTTGTACTACATTAACAAAGGCACGAGGGGTTGGTTGCACTCGATTGGGAAACCGATCCGCATAAACATGTGCCATTTTTTATTTCGTTTGAGCCACGCAACAGACACCACTATTCAAACGCGTTACCGACTGACACTGACTGTATACAACTGACCAAAATAATTGTAAAAACATCGTTCCAAATTCTTTCGCTTTTTTGTTTCCGATGCGATGAACCAAACACGAGCACATAATATTATTATTGAGACAGGGCGGTACTCAAACTTCCAAAGGGCTATAACTTTGTTACTTTAATTTTACCAGAAAAATGGTAAAGGAAAAAAACATTTCTTTTGATCAGATCTACTCACTGTTAAAATAAATGACTCAACTTCGAAGTCACCCTGTATAGACTACGTTGGTGGAACACCCACATTTACATTTAAATTGAATCGATCATGCAGAAACCTCGTAGGTCACCAAATTTGAATTTTTCAGGAATCAATAAAAAATGTGTCATTGTCAAATAAACCAGTTTGGAACTTCTTTTTTTGGGTAATATACGAACCTCTTCCCACTTCAGTTGGCCCACTTCAAGATTTGTACCAAAATATGCCTTTATGACGAAGCTATTTACTTCTAAAACAATTTATTTTCTCAAAAACATTTTAGATACACTCTAGTCGTAAAAATACATATATGAAATCACTTAGACCTATAACTAATAGAACATCTGAACAAATAAACATTGTGCGAATAAACGCGCGAAGTTAACAAAGCAACAATTGAAAGATTACCATTGGGTAACATCACCTTTATTTTTTATTACGGCTGAAATTCTTTGGGGCATAGTGTTAACCAAGTTTTGGCAAAAATTTGGTGTAAAACAGTCCCATATTTCTTGAAGCTTTTGTCTCAGTTCGGTGATTGTACGAGCAGGATGTTTTCGTAAAACCTTTTTCATCTCGTGCCACAAACTTTCAATAGGTGACAAATCTGGACTGCTAGAAACCCATTTTAAAAGTGGTACATCATTTTCTTCCATCGATTTTATAGCCTTTTTTGAGGTATGGCACGCTGCACCATCTTGCTGAAACACAAAATCTTGGCCGGATGTCAAACATTCTTCCATCACGTAAAAGCGATTCTTCTAAAATTGCCAAATATTTGTTTGTATCAACATTTCCATCAATAAAATGAAGTTTTCCTACTCCTTTTGATGACATACTGCCCCAGACCATAATGAATGCTGGAAATTTCGTTTTTCTCTTCAGACAGTCAACATGGAATGCTTAATTTTTTTTGCGAATAACTCTACTGCGACTGTCACCAACACAAACTTCGAATCGGGCCTCATCACTCCATTGTATTGCACACGACTGTTGTGGTGTCCATTGTCTATGTTCTTTAGCCCATCTAAGCTGATTTTTCTTTTGCAGTGGAGTTAATAGTGGCTTTTCTTTGGCCTATAAACAAGTTGTGCAACTTTACGGTTTTTACTTCACTTTTTTTTATAAGAAAACTTACCTTGCAAGTGCCAAATCCCAGTTTGTTGGCCTCTCTATGAGTTGTGGACGTCGAAATTCTCCTTTCAACAGCGTCACTCCACAGAGCACTTAATTGGCACGCCTGTTTTTCACGATTATTCTTCTTAATGCTCTTCGGTCGGCATTTGTGATATTACTTTTTTTCAAATATCGTGGCTTAATATTAACTGAAGCAGTTACGATATATATTCTAACAATATTTCTCACACTGTACCGTGATAAGTCTAACAAAGTAGCAATTTCTGAGTTTGATTTCCCAGAATTAAAAAATTTAATTATCAGTAACCGAATTTTGAAAACCTTAACTACCCAAAACTATTTTAAACGTGTTCTGACAGCTGTGAGTAATAAAAACAATTGTCATGGCTTTTATTTTTCACAGCCACCTATGCGTTATAGACTTATTTTGCATTGAAATGAAAATAGGTTGATATGCTGTAATTGCAACATGTGTTATTTTTATGCTGCAAATTTGATTAGGGAGTGATAAAGTTGATGTTTTCTACAATATATTATCAAAATATTCATTGTTAATATTTTAAACCTATAACACCCCGCTACATTTTTATTATTTGTGTTTGATAAGAAAAAAACTAAGATTTCAACAGTTGGGCCAACTGAAGTGGGAAGGGGCTCGTAGTATTTGAGTTCTAAAGGACTGACATTTTGAGTAACCTTCATAGTTTTAGCTCGGAAAACTGTTATGAACGCGTTGTTTTAGCAGCAAATAGGGTTACTGGTATATAACTTGAGCGAAGACCATCAATCATATTTTTCATTGCTTATTCTTGAAAACTACACTTAAATTTTGATATTTTTACAGTGCATAGGTGAAACCTGGGCAAACATCTTGGAAAAAATAATTCCTAGTGAAAAGTAGAGATTCTTGTTCAACTTTCTTGAATAACCAGCAATGGGTGCTTATTTGACCACCTGGTTTCAAAATGTTTTTTTTTCTTTCAACAAAAAATTCACATTGCCAGATACGAGTTAAGTTTAGGTAAAAACATATTCTGCCAAGGAACATACTTTTTGTGACTGCAATTTTAGTCAATTTGTCCAAGATCAGTTTGGTTGAATAGCAAAAAGGAGGCATTATAACGTTCTAAATGCTTTTAAATTGAATAATAGCAACGAATACCACTAAGTACCAGCGAAAAATTGCGGCATCCCGTGTATTGTCACGCATAGGCTTGCCAAAAATCTTTTTGCAAAGGTATAGCTTCTGCGACTATGTAAGCCCAGGGTACCATACATCACTGGGTGTCTATCAAGCAACCCAGGGGCGTTTCTAAAAATATTTTTAGGGGGTATACAGGGTGACTCACAAGTCGTGACCAAAAATTAAACGTCATACACAGGACCACATTTTAAAGGGGTCTTTTACGTAACATTTTTTCCTCTAGGGCTTCATAGAAAAGATACGGGGTGTTGAAGTTTAAAAATAAAAACATTTTTCATCAAATTCAAGCCCCAAAAAATTTTGCGTAAAAACGTTTTTCTTTATTAAAAATATGCCGTACTTGGGTCCGTCACAGTGGGGGTCTTTTTGAACATTTACTGGAATAAAGTGTTGATTATCTAATTTGTTTTATTTTTATTTTTACGAAAACAGTGCATTCTAGGAAAAAAACACAAGGGTAATTATGTATTTATAGGAAATTGAAGGTAAAATTCTAAAAACTGCCCATTTCGAAAAAAAAACAGTGGCGTACTATTTTTATTTGGAAAAATAATACCACTAACCCCCTGTATTTCCGCCACTGGTGCACGTTAATTTTAAGTAAAGACGTTTGAATGTGGACAATACTTAGGTAAAGTGACATACCAAATTTTAGTTCATTCCAGTTGATGGTTTGCAAGATATTAAAAAAATTATTTTTAATTTTTAAACTTCAACACCCCACCCCGTATCTTTTTAATCAAGCCCTCGAGGAAAAAATGTTACATAGAAGACCCCCCCCTTGAAATGCGGTCCTGTGTATGATGTCTCACTTTTGGTCACGACTTGTGAATCAACCTGTATATGATGATTTTGAAATTACCCACTCAAAAAAGTATTTAGGGGGAGGTGGTGGGCGCTTAGAATTAATGTTCAGAGCGTCAAAAACACATTCGAATTTTTTTGTGAAATGAGGATCACTAACAGCTCCGAAACCAAAGAACTTACTTATTGTAGACCTGCAAAAATTTCTTAAAAATCACCAGAGAATATGAAGTTTTAGGCGAATGCACACGATCAGTATTTACTGTAGTCCGCACTCTGATCACTGCGTCAGTGTCAATAATTTTCTACGTATCCCTATACATCTGGCTACACAGTCAATAAACATTACATATTTACTATTTATTAATAATTGAATAAAATTTTTTTAAATAAAATTAAGCCTTCGGGATCTTGTAGGGGACGGTTTCCACTTCAATTTAGTTACTTGGAAACCTCAAGAATGATAATTGTTAAACGAGCTTTCAAGTATCGAAAATGGACATTTTTGGGTTCTTGACTTTGAAGCGCTTATATTCGAAAGTTGTCACTTTTTGTTAGGAACGATGAAAAAACCTAAAACCAAACTATGTCCTGAGCAAAAAAGATAAACATTTTTTTCTAATGAGTTAAAAAGTGTTCTGTGATAAAACTCTAATTGTACTGGATTATACGACAATTTGCCCATGAATACAAATAGATTGAAACCATATCATCACTCCCTTTGATGTGGCTTTTTGTCATATTACATTGGATAAAAAAGGCATCAAACTGCAGTATTTTTTACTTTAATCTCATTTCTAGGCCACGGAAGAGCAGTATGCATCGAGCTATCCAAACGTTAGGACCGTTAGTGTTAAAAAGGTATTTATGATTTTTCCTATAGACGATTACTGAAATTACACATTGTTAAGAAATGTATATTTAATATTTGCATTGATGGTTATTTAATGTTTGTGGTAACGTACATATTTATTATTGCAGGGTACTCAAAGCTTGGGGATCATGATAATAGAAGGGCGCCATGCTGAAGTAGGGCAAGGCATCTTCATATCGGACATCCAAGAGGACTCTGCTGCTGAAAAGGTAACTTTGGAGATTTGCTACATGTTCATTGATTAAAAAGTTCTTTTTAACTAAAGATACGCCTCCACAGAACCGCATTGGACTATTCGCACTAAACGGATTTCAGAATTCTTAGTACGTTTTCAAATACAAATGCGTCCACTGTTCCGCATTGGATAGGCGGTACGTCAAATTTCCGAAAGGCGCAATTATTTCCATCTGTGCCGATGACGTCATACAAATTGATAATCGGGGGACGTGTCACCACCGACGCCACCGACTGAGCTGATTATGGATGCAAATCCGGATGCTACACTCAGGGCGCCGAGCAGTAACCAACGGTATTGAAAACTAAGTAAATACGTTGCTGAAAATATACAGGGTGTCCGCAAAGTTGGGGTTTTCCTTTACACGACGTGTAGATCTTGAAAACATAAGCAATTTTTCTTAGTACCATATACACCAAAGTCTTAAGGGAACCGAGATAAAGGGCTCTGCAACATCAAAAATATCTGAATACCGTCCTGTAGCCGCGACATCCCCGAGTGGTACTAGGACACTAGCTCAACCCGACGACAGAACTGGGTCGGGGTCAGTGTGTCAGGTCAGTATGCAACCTTCAACCGATGGTTACGGTCACGCGTGTAGAGGTAATCGCGTAGACGAGAATCCCTCAACAAGCACTAGAGACGTGGCTAGAGAAGTGCAAGTATCAAAAACTAAAGTGTGGCAAGCGCTGCGTGAAGAGGGGCTGTATCCGTTTCACGTCCAACGTGTACAAGCCCTTCAACCTGACGATTTTCCAGCAAGAGTGCGGTTTTATGAGTGGTTGTTGCATCAACATGACAATAATCCGGACTTTTTGAAGTGCATATTGGTGACAGACGAATCTACGTTCACGCGTAATGGGATGAATAACTTTCGCAACCCTCATGTTTGGTCAGTAGAAAATGCCGTCTGGCACATTTTCAACAAACATTTTCGGTGAATGTTTGGGCTGGCATGGTGAACGGTATGCTCATTGGACCATTTATTCTCCCAAATCGATTGGACGGGATGCAATACCTAGACATTTTACGCAACATTTTGCCTTCCTTGTTTGCCTGCGTCTGCTCGGTAGCGCATCAGCTGACTTCATTTTCTGTTGGAGCGGTATGATTTCGGGCAGAGACGTCCTTAGCCCTTCTCGTCAACTGGAGAGTGAGTACTTTTTACTTTATTTTTTTACTTGGTCGCCCTCGTTTCACTACACATTACCTTTGTTATTTCAAGGGTAGTTGCTTCTGAAAAGGAAAACCCCAACTTTGCGGACACCCTGTATAGTGATTTTCCTCCCCCAGCTTATTTTTTTTACGGTCAAATTAGCAAGCTGAAATTCGTGGTGGTGTGACTGACACATGATTACTATTTTAGCATAAAAGCAGCCGTTGAAAATTTCAAGATGGGGGTTGGATGCCCGTCACCCTAAAACTAAGATTGTCACCAATACGATATGCCTGCGGATATAGTGGACGCATAATTCATCCGTGTGTACTCGTGAATGCGAACCAATGGACGCGTACCTTTAAGCTAACGGTTTTAATAAGTGTAAGGTTGATTCAAGTGTTGAACTTCAAACTCCAAGTGATTAGATTAAAGAAGCCGTTTAGGGTATCCCAATATATGCGTCCGGACTTTGTTTTTGAATAAAAGAAAATACTCCTGTTATCCAGGGTGTTTCCAAAGTTACAGGGTGTTGCTTAATGATATGCAAATATTTAATTGTGTGCATCTACATGAAAAATTAATGTTAGTTTGCTTTATAAACTATGGTCCAAAAATGTTTCCTTACAAAAACTCGGGGTGTTGAAGTTTTGGGCAAAAAATGGAAATCAATTAATATTTTCAGAACTGCTTCAGATATTTCACTGATATTTAGTACGTAGTGAAAGTTGGATATTTTGATAATGATCTCTCTTGAATTGTTTTCCTTCGACGCGCCATTTTTCAGTGAAAAAGTAAAAACCGTTCTATTGTCTAACTTGCAAAATTATTATTAATTTAATTGGAAAAATTAAACATATTAGGGGTAATGAACAACAACAACTGACAACATAAAAATAACATTAAAACAAACGAAATGATTACAAACATTGTTGAAAATGGGGCCCTTCACTTAGTATGCATGCTTCCGCCCTCCGTCTCATGGAATTGCACACTCGTTGAAATATCCGTGGAGTGTTTTTTATTCTATCACAAGATGCAACTATTCTTTCTCTTAATGTGTTAATGGGACTTGTGTACACTAGTGTCTTAAGATAGCCCCACAAAAAGAAATCTAAACTGTTGAGGTCTGGGGACCTTAGTGGCCATTCTTGGAGCCCACCGCGGCCAGTCCAACTATTTGGATAAAAGTTTGTAAATAATTACGAACCGGTTCACTGAAATGCGCTGGTGCACCATCATGCAAGTACCACGTATTGTTTCTTATTACTAACGGAACATCATCAAGCAGCAAAGGCAACTGTTGTTGAAGAAAATTGAGGAAGAATGGGCCAATAAAATGGTTGCCAATAATTACTGCCCATACGTTAACCGAAAATTGGTGTTGGAAATGGGTTTCGGTTACGGCATAGGGATTTTCTTCTGCCCACAAATGATTATTGTGGAAATTCTTAACCGCATTTCGAGAAAAATTAGCTTCGTTCGTGAACAGAATCATTGATTCAAACTGCGAATTTTGTGTAATTTTTTGAAGATACCACTGACAAAAGGTAACACGCCTTGGAAAATCAATGGGAAGTAATGCCTACTGTTAAAATATGGTAAGGATATAACTAAAATTCTCCAATTTGATGGCAAATATTTAGGTATATAGCGATCTTCTTCGTACTAGTTTCAGGATGTTCTTCGACTTCGTGCAGCACTGCTTCCTCGATTTCAGGTGTTCTCACACTTAGAGGTCTACCTTCAGATGCTCCTTTTCGGGCAGAACCAGTTTCAACGAGACGACGATAGATATTAGAAAATGTTCGACTATCTGGCAAAGCACGATCGGGATATCTCTGGTGATAAATCCATCTGGCTTGCTCACCATTACCGTCGGCAAGGCCATATACGTAATGCATTTCCGCCATTTCTGCATTTGAATAGTTCACCATTATTAACAAGATTGTAAAAACTAAATAATGAAAACGATGTCACAGCGAACAGGTTTGGATTGCAGAAACTTGTCAGATGTCAAAAGCCAGTGACATATTCCAGAGCAACTAGATATTTATTGCTAAATTGCATTCTTCAATTATTACATTAATTTTCTCGGACAATAGAACGGTTTTTATTTTTTTACTCAAAAATGGCGCATCGAAAGAAAACAATTCAAGAGAAATCATTTGTTTTAAATTGAACGGAGAATTCAAAAATGATTTTTATTTGGCAAAAAACCATTGGCGTACTATTTTTTTCTTAAAAAATATCGAAGTCAATACCCGTACGCACGCCACTGCTAAAGCTAAAAATTATTTTTGCATTGAAAAATATGCAACTTTATTAACTTTCACTACGTAGTAAATATCGGTGAAATATCTGAAGCGGTTCTGAAAATGTTAATTAATTTCCATTTTTTTCCTAAAATTTCAACACCCCGAGTTTTTGTAAGGAAACATTTTTGGACCATAGTTTATAAAGCATGTAGATTCACACCCTTAAATATTCTTATATCATTATGGAACACCCTGTATAAAAGTTGCATAATAAAAGAAAAAGTAGAAGATTGAAAATTTAAAAAATAATGATATTACACAGATTTTTCGATATTCTCGACCATTGCCGCGTAGAATCTTACCGTTTATTTGTTAATTACTGCTATCTTATAACTAAATTTTGCAAACATTTTGTGTTATTGTAAGGTTTCCAGTAGAATCCTTTGGTTCGACTAGTTGTATCCTTTGTCTGATTATTTTGTGCGCAAAAATGGTCGATGTTTATGAAAACAATGAACTAGTGGACTTAATACTAACGGAGAGTGCCAACAAAATGCAGCCGTAGCATGCGGGTAGTATGCGGAAAGATTTCCTTTAAGAAATCATGCGGCCCGACCGATGCTTGTAAATTGAGTTATTAGAAATCGTGACAAGGATATTTGAAAGGACAACGAGGAGGTCACGTTAGAAGACCTGCTCAAACCGAAATGTATCAAATGGAGGAAGACATTTTATAAATGGTCGAAGACGACCCAACAATGAGTACTAGAGCCATAGCAGCTAAAGTTGAAGTTTCTTATAGTAGAGTGTGCAAGACAATACGACATGAACAGGATTATTTTTATCATTATCAACGGGTACAAGCGTTTTACCCGAAGATCATCCTAGAAGAGTTGCATTTTGCTAGTAGCTTTTAGAACAGTTCTGCATAAATTAACTTTGCGTACAGACGAGGCCACATTTACACGAAATGGGGTGCACAATTTCCACAACAGTCATGTTTGGGCAGTAGAAAATCCGCATGACACTGACATTACAGTTTCATATCTGATTGTAATCTAAGTTGTGTATTTAATGAAATACAGGGTGTTGAATTGACCCATACGTTTTTTGTACTAAAAAGTTATATAAAAACGTGTATATTGGGAAGCGCTTAAAACAATCAGCTATGGCATTCTAATAATATTTGATTGTATTTTATAGGCTGGCCTGGAAATTGGAGAAATGATCTTAGCTGTGAACAAAGATTCACTGGTTGGATCAAACTACGAAAATGTAAGTGCTCATTCAGTATATCACAGCACATTCATTATAGTCTGGTACCAAGTCACATTTCAGTACACTTCTTGAACGATCTTAAGATGATCAAAGCACACTCCTATTATTTCCATTGTGAGTATTCCATGCGAAGCAATCATCCACTTCATATATTCTGATGTCAATCATCATATGAAAGCTTCAGATAAGGTACCTAAGGCACATTTCCATCTAAAAGCACCCGTGGTGTAAGTATCAATGTCCGAAGTTATTTTTTTTTGACAATTTACTGATAGATATCGCTTTAATTGCTAAATAGCGTTTTTGAACAACCAAGATACCGCACACATTTTTACGCCAAGAAAGCTATAAAGCCATTTAAATTTCAAAATGGGCACCAAACGGAAATGAGTCGATGGAGAAAACAATGATACAGAGATCAAAGATGATTCTGGATTTAGTTCCCTTGATAGTGTGAACGACAGGCAGTAACTCAGATGAGTAGATAGATTTGTGGCTTATTACTTTACTTCTGTTATAGATGTGGGTTTTGCTTTTGTTCCGTAGGAAAACTTTTTTGTATTCGTTTCACAATACCACTAGATAGTGATTTCAAACCAGCTATTTATCAATTTATCAGAATATATCATTATCGTTATTGAGAACGACTAACGTAAACCGCAAATAACTTTAATACGTTTCAGTAATACGTAATTTTGTGATGAGTGGCTTGTGACCGTGAGTCTTCAGGAACATTCATAATTTTTTTGTTGTCACAAAATTTTTGTTGTTCAAAAGGTAAACCTACAGTAGCGGACAACAGTTTGGAAACAAATATTAACATTATTATGAACTATTTCATATACCTAAATTAAAATTGTGAAGGAACAAATAATATAAACATTAAAATGTACATTTGGTTTCCGTAATAATGCAAGGTTTATCTCATCAATTTTAAAATTCTCTGAAAATAAAAACACGCGTTTTCTTAAATACCACAGTTTTTGTAACGACGAAAGTATGGATACATTTCAGTTTTGCGATACTATGATATTGTGTGCGGTAAATATTAACATCAGTGGGAATGGCAAAAGTAAAAGAATTTTCAAAAGATTTAAGAGACAAAGTGATTGAATTATTTAGAAGTGGTGTCAGAAATGTTGGCATTTCTCAAAGATTAAAAATGAACAAAGGGACGATTTTGAAAATTATTAGTAAATATCAAGAATACGGATCAACAGCAACGCGGCCCAGGTGCGGAAGACCGAAAAAAACATATTATGTTTTGGATCGCTACATTAAACGTTTGTCCCATGATGATCCTCGAATGCCAGCCACATAGATTTTCAAAAGAATCGTGGAAGAGGGTGCCGAGAATGCAGAGACGCTTGGTGGATTTTGGGCTTTTTGTTCAAAAGCCTCTCATTAAAAAAATCGTATTGCGCGGCTTGAATTTGCAAAAACTCATCTAACTTGCACAGAACAACAATAGAATACAGTTTCATGGAGCGATGAAAACAAATTGAACTCGTTTTGATCTGACGGGACGGCATATGTGAGACGTCCAATTCGACAAAAAGTATCAGTTGCCAACAGTTAAGCACGGTGGAGGCAAAATAATGGTTTGGGGCTGCTTTTCTAGTTCTGGAACGGGTCGTCCAATTATTGGGAAAATGGATAAAAAACTTTACAAAGATATTCTTAGGGAACACACGCCGTCTTTTGCTGAAGAGAAATGCCTTAACGATGGACATTCCACCAAGATAGTGACCCCAAGAATACATCAAAATTGGTTAAGACTAAAAAATGTTAATGTTCTTACATGGCCTTCGCAATCCCCGGACCTAAACCCTATAGAACATCTTTGGGAGCATGTTAAAAGACAACTGACAAGAAAAACATTTAAAAATAGGAACGATTTATATGATTGTGTAAAAAATATTAGGCAAAATATCCCAACAGATGTCTGTAAAAAATTGGTGTCTTCTATGATCAGCAGATGTCAGGCAGTGTTGAATGCTATGCTACCAAATATTAGCTAAACAGTATCTTTTGTAGAGTCATTGTATTTAATTTTATAATAAAAAATATGTTTCCATACTTTTGTCGTCTCACTTTTGGTCATAAAATAATATGAAGGTATTTTAATGCTAGTCTGTAGTACCACAGCAAATACAAATTCTCGTCTCTATCTTCAAGACTGTAAGCAAACTATATGAAAAAAAAAATAGTTCTTACTACTAATGAATAGAAAATTAGCGCACCTTTATGAAACGTACTAAGAATGTTTCCAAACTTTTATCCGCTACTGTATGTAAACCAGGATTTATAAAAAATTTAGACTTCCCGAAATAATGTCAATGTGACTTAGGTATCTTACTGCCGCGAACCCTCCATAGATATAACCGTGAAACGTTTCTTTAGGCAGCGAATCTGCTGAAAAGAACCGAGGGTCTAGTGACTCTGGTGGTATCGAATCCAGGCAAAAAGTCCAGTGAAACACCGTCAGGCGAATCTGGTGCAACGCCTGCAACGTCTGTCAGATCTCATTCTCCTGGAGCGTTGAAACCCCCATCGACTGCTGGGTCGAAACCACCTTCGCGTCCTACTACACCCACACCAGGTGAGTTGACGCACACGGTTGAAAATAAGCTTCTAACTATAAGGAACTAACATCCTTACAAACTAAATGCACCGAGTACTAATATTTTCAAAACGCCGGTACCTAGTACAGATTCCAATACTGAGTCAATAACTGTCAGTAACATTGAGCTTATATTTGAGTTTTTTTTAAAAGAGATTTATCCCAAGAATTGAACACATCATAAAAAAGAGCATCAAGTAGGTTGACCATCGATTAGTATAGTGGAAATAATCGTTGTGGATATTTCGTAACGCTTTATATTTTCAGAGCCTCCCGCAGATCCTGCGACGTGTCCAATAAATCCTGGCAAAGACACGACAATAGAAATTAACACAGACAACAAAAGTTTGGGAGTTTTCTTCATTGGAGGAAAAGACACACTTATTAATGTAAGTTGTTATTTGGAAATATCCGTATCAATTACAGTTCTTAGAGTTGGTCGTTCTTTGCATTGATTATCGTATTCTACCTGAAGATAGCCAACCTAATGCTATTCCTGCGTCCAAGAAATTATTCGAGATAAAATGAGATACCGTAGCGTCATCTATGAGAATATGTCACAGCTGTTTCTCTATTTACTGTATATACTTTGAAAATGTTAGTGACTCATAGATGGAGCTGTTTATATGAGCATATCCATGTATATAGGTGGATACAACGTCATCTATGATACAAATTGTCATAGATGTAGCTAGGTATCTCATTTTTCTCTAGCAACACGTTGGTCATCTTCAGGTAGAATACGTTGATCAATGTTCATAGGTATCACCTTGTTGCTAATCGTATAGAAGATTTTTATTAGAACCAATGTTAGGCACATGTCACATGATCACCATTTACTGTGGTCTTACCATCAGTATTTATCTGATCATTCCATCAGTGTAAGTGGATTTCAACATAACTTTATAAATTAATAATAACTAACGTCTCGGCTAGACGGTTAATAGATCGGAGTGATAACTGATCATGTGATATTCGCCTGTCACTAAGTTGTAGTGCATTTAACGTATCTCGGATGCCGAATGCCGCTTTTGTTATAAAACTGCCCAAACGAAATTCTTTCAATATTTCAGAGTATAGTGCTGGTCGAAATTTACCCTGGAGGTACTGCAGATAAAGACGGAAGGTTACAACCTGGAGACCAAATCTTAGATGTAAATGGTACATCCCTGAAGGATGTGTCACATACTACTGCTTCACAGGCATTGAGGCAAACGTTACCCAAGGTGAGTCTATTCAAATGATTCATGCTCAGGATTTTGATGTTTTTTGTTTCAGTAGACTTCAAAAATAATTGCATGATGGGCTGACAAGACAATATTTTGAATGCCTTAGATGAGAAAATGACTCTAGCGTTAATATCCATAGTCTATTTAAAAGGTTTTTACAGCATTAATAATAAATTAAATTACTTGCTAAATTAAATTACGTAGGACTTGACAATTTATCCCTTTCATTTTTCGACAGTTACCTTCATCAAAGAACTGCCAACCAATAAATGTCTCCAGTGACAGCAAATTCCCTCTGGCGTGCCTCAGGACTCTGTATTGGGGCCGCTGCTATTTTTATATATCTACTTTCGACTTATTGATAATTCTCATGTCCAGTCTTTTGCAGATGATACGCGGTTGCATGTCAATAATACTATGCCAATTTTACCTTTTTTGGCTATACTGCAATGTAATTGCGGATAAATAAAGACGTCTATTAGTATTTAATTTGAAGAGGCTTCAGACATATTCTGTGAAAATTTGTCAAACCATTTTGACTGGACTATAAGATCTGATTATTAATTTATTTTGATTGCAGATGAAGCTCATAGTACACAGGCCGGCCACGCAGGAGTACACACCTTTAGACGTTGAACTTGTGAAAAAACCTGGGAAGGGATTAGGCATCAGTGTCGTGGCAAGGAAAAATGGCAAGGGTGTTTACGTAGCAGATATTGTAAGTATGATTTACAACTATCAGTGCCGACGCGTGACTTTTCCTACACTGTTACCAAAACCAGATGTGAAAAATCTTATTAAAAAAAAGTTTATTCTGAACCTCCCAAATATAAGTTTTTACTTGTTTTAGGTATTTTATTTAAACTATTTTTAAATTAAAGTAAACATTCCTGGACTGAGCGTCTGGAGCACTTGATATACCTCATCGTCTTACGCTATGACTAATCCAAGAAGTCCGAAAAAACAGTCAACGTTTCTAGATGTTCGGAAAATTTTTGATCTTTTTTGGCAATGAATGTTAACAATTCCCTGTAATTTCCTTTATTGTCAGAGTCATTGACTTCAAAATGAACGGTAATTCCTGTTTTGCCAAAAAACATACGTTATCTAGAAGTGTGCTGCCTAAAAGCTTGGTTAAGACAACTTTCGATTATATTTTTGCTAAACTGAATTAAATTGGCTACACATCTCACATGTAACGGAGAAATTTCATGTCTCCTCTTTAGAGCCCTAAAACTATTTAAATCGTTGACTCCGCTGCTGGTCCACCCATTTTTTTCTGTATAAAACAGAAGACATCGCCAACAATACAATATGTTTCTTTGCAACCACATAACCAAGAGTTTCCATATGCCAACTTAATTTAAAATATCAAACTACGTTTTCTATTTCTTTTTAAAATTATCTAAAATAGGTGTTGGTCTTCCATTTTCAATGATCTCCTTTTTTTCTTAAAAATTATGCAAGGAGAATGACTTTTCAAGTAGTTGATCGATTACGCAGCGACACTCATCCATATTTAATTGCACGCACTCTACAGCCAGTAACCAAACGACTACTAACGAGTGAGAAGTGGGTAACTAACCAAATCAAAAAATGGTAACAAGCCCACATAATAGTCGCAGTGCCCCCACGCACTCGAGCGACCGCGATAAGACACGAGCCGGTACCGACGGTCCCCGATGGACTACCAAGTGTATCCATAAATGAAAATGGTAACAACCGACAACCAAGTCGAGGCGAGTCAGCTGCATCGTGTTCGCAAAACCTAGACACTATAGGGCGCATTATTTTCGTGGGGCTAATTTACTATTACATATCGCTGTTGGTAAACAAATAAATGAAATTATTTCACAATACTTAGTCATAAAATATTTATTTTTAGGATGTTTAACTGTTACCAATGGTAACAATGGTTACATGGACGCTTTGCCACTGACAACCATGCCTTTCAAAAAGGTCTTCCCCTACTCATTTTTTGAACGAGTCAAAACTTGACGTGTTTAGGGTATGTTCCTGCTAGTCCACTCGGTTTTCTGTGTATTACAAGTAAGCCCCCGCCGATCATAGCATTCAAATATTTCTTTTATTGCCCACTTTACTGTCATGATGGCTGTGTTTTGCTGTTTGCATGCATTGTCATTTCTGACCTTGGGTTTTTGCTGATATTGTAGTCTGGCCCGTGGGCACTGTATTTTAATAATGTCAGTAATAAAAACACTTTACTAAAGGATTAAGCACATAAAGCTTATTAAACCACCATAAGCGAATAAACATGTTGACCGGCATGGGTATCATGTAGAAAACCTATAAAACGTCAAAAAAACCTATAAAATGTCATCTTGCAAATTAGGTATTTTTTAGGGCACAAACAGTCATTCCACGTCTGCTCACTAGGATCGTTGAGAACGTCTATCTAAGGAGGAATCACTCAACTAAACTACACGCATTATTGGTTGCATATGTTTTGTGAGGCCAAATGTTCCTTGTCTGTAGTTTTTATCTCTGAGAAGAAAGTTGGTTGAATAGTAAGATCGCATCTAGATAATTATGCGTATTGGTCTGCATGTGCTTTCTGAAGAGAGGTCATGTTCAAAGTTATAAATTACGAAAAACTGAGGAGAATTAAGGGAAATCATCACTGCGCCCGCGTTGTGTGTAATTACTGTTAGCATGTATATGGCTTGTAATTCGACAGTGTACAGTGAATACAATTATTTCTTATCTCTCTCATTTTTGTAATTCAGCAAATGTATATATGTAATTTCCAGAACGTAAAAGAAAAAGTGAATGCGCAACTAATTTCTAGCTTTGAATCTCAATTGAGTGTATTTGAGATAAGAACCCAATGTAATTATCATCAACACATACAACTTACAGCTTAGACCCCCAGTAATGCCATCTCAGAAGCAGATTTTACATCACATCAGAGCCAAAGATTGATAACAAGCCTCATAACGTTTAGGCAACACGTTAATATCTTGTTGAAAAACATACATAATGTAAAAAAAAAAACAGCATAATGTCAAAAAAATCCGCATAATGTCACTTTTGAAGATACGTGATACCTGTGCGGCACGGAGGTAACGGCAATGCATAGGTGCATAGTGAGGATATGTGTGCTAATAATATGTGTTGATAATTCCATTGGATTCTTGTCTCAAATACACTTACTTGAGATTCAAAGCTAGAAATTAGTTGCGCATCTAGTTTTTTCTTATCTATTCTTTAAATTGCATGTGCAATTTGCTGAATTTCAAAAATGCGAGAGAGATAAGAAATAATTATATTCACTGTACATTGTCGAGTTACAAGTCATAGACATGCTAACAGTAATCACATACACACAACGCGGGCACGGTGATTTCCCGTAATCCTCCTTAAAGTTTTTGAAAACAAAAAACGTAAAAAATCGTAATTTATAACTTTGAACATAACCTGGTTTCAGAAAGGAAAACATATAAATAATCCGTCGGCCACAGTTAATAGATGTATTTCATTGGCAGTATATTCAGTAATAATTTTCTCACACAGCAAATATCACTGATTTTGTACACATGCAGACCAATACAAACAATCATCCAGATACGATATTGCTATTCAACCAACTTCCTTCTCAGAGATGAAAACTATAGACTACTAGACTTCACAAAACATATGCAACCAACAATGCGTATAGACGTGTCGTTGAGTCATTCCTCCATAGATGGACGCTCACAACGATCCTATTGAGCAAACGTGGAATGACTGTTTGAACCCTAAAAACTACATTTTATAGGTTATTTTGACGTTTTATAGGTTTTTTTACATAATAGCTGTACGGAACTCAATTCCCTCGCTTCCTAACCTGTCAACTGTCAACGATCAAACGTCAGTGATCATGTCATCCGGTAAACGTAAGCGCGCGAATTTCAAATCTGAAATTTTTATTACTACAATACACTTTTTTGTTACAGATATCTGGCGGACCAGCCGACATGGACGGCAAAATAGCGAAAGGTGATCTAATAGTCTCGGTGAACGGACAAAGCGTCGAGAACGCGGCGGGCGAAGAGGCGGGAGCAATTTTGAAAATCGCCACCGGGAAAGTTAGCTTAAAATTAAATAGATACAAACCTGTACAAAGATAAAAGTAGGCGGTGTCAGTTTAGCGGGAACAGAATTAAGTTAACCGAACCGGACAGTATGGTTGAGAAGTTGTTTTGTGAGGGGTATAAAGGTCTAAAAGTGGAGAACGAGTAAAATCCCAGAGAATTTAGTGAATTCAAATGCAAAAATACCATTATGGAGAATAATTGAAAAAAATCATGAATGAGCACTGCGATTGTTTTATCTAACTCACTGTTTTCTCCACAAGGGCATCGTATTTTTTATCCCTCACAAAAAATAATTACGAATGTTACAACATTATTGCCATGCATTTAATTTTTAGTTTCTAAATATGAAAGTTCAGTTTTCATGAACTTAAATGGTTGCATTTAATAGTTTTTCCTTTTCCAAATATGTACAATACAGGGTGGATCAGATTTTATTAAGAGTAGCATGATAATTATTTTCCTTGCAATTATTCTAAAAAAAAAAAAGAAATGAACAATATGATGGGGCCAAACGATGGAAGTAGAGCATAAGTATAAAAGTGATTGTGCCAAAAGTTTTAATTCAAGACATTATTTCATGTAACACCTGGAACCTATCCTGTGGTTTTTATGTTCATAGGACTACATTGTCTGTCATATGTTTTAATTTCTGTTTATTGTATGACGTCTCGGCCACTACGGTGGCCTTTTTCAAACTCAATGACGATGACAGTTTTTTATCTGTCGTTTAGGTGTCAGTCCATTTATTTTTTATTTTCTTCATTCCTATACAGTGTCTTGCTTCAATAGACTGAACGGTTGTGTTGTATGCCGATATCGAGTGAAGCCATATTTATAATTTTAAGATTACCGCGTAAAATTAGAATAGCCTAGGATCGCATAGGCACCTGTATTACGTAACTCAAAAAGCAACATTATATAGATTTTTTATGACATTATCTAGGTTTTTTGAACTAGCTGACATTCAATTCATGTTCACTTTTAGTAGACGCGGCATAAACTAGAGGCTAGCTAGTGCACACATTGACATTGTACCGATTTTTTGACATATGGGTTTTTAACGTAACAACCCTGTCGTTCTTAAAACACAACCCCATATATGTGGTTTGATTGGACCAGACAATGAAGTCCTGTGATCAAGACATTATTTTAAGCTGCATCTCACACACTTAACTTAAAGAAATTACAGCTCAGATGATAACTGTTTCTGTCAAACGTAAATTTCGTTCGGCAACAGAGTACTAATAATTCGCGTTGCTTTGTGTGTAAATGTCGCTGTGTGCTCGTTTACACCGTGTGGTATGGGTGATTCAGAAAATGGCGGCAACATCTCTAGGGCATAAAGAAGATAAAAAAAACCCGAAAAGTTTATATAAAAATGGGTCCCAAAATATTGACTCAAAATTGTGTACATGTTAACAGCATAGTCAATACATACAATGTTCGTGTCTGAGCTTACACCAGTTTCTTAAAAATTAAGAAATTTTGAAGAGAAGAAAAAATAAAATTATTTTCTGTGACACTGACTTTTTTGAAACATATATTGCATCTTTAAATAAGGTATTTAATTGGTTGAATGTTTGAGGTAAAATTCGTATAAAAAACTCCATCCCGTTCCACTTTAAAAATATGCTGTTGGTTATTAAAGTTTTACACTGAAAATTGCATTTAGTGTTTTAGGAGAGTAGTCCTACCTGGAGGTTATTTGAACAATGTTCACTTTGATCTTGTTGAGTCTCATCAGTGACAAAAAAATTTACTAAGCTGCGTGTCTTGGTGATAGGAGGTTTTAGGACCTACACTTACAGTTACTTTTTTTGCTATTTTTGGATGTACTTATATTATATTGCCACGTTTTTTTGAATAAGCGTTTGGCTAGCCAATATGTACTACGAATTTATCGTTTGACGTCATCGACAGCTGTCATCTGAGCTTCAATTTTTTTACGTTATAAGGAAGGCTGGAAGGTGTTAGCCTTAGGCGAATGTCATCTATTCTTTATTTACTGTCGTCCGCACCATCAGTATTTTCACTGATCATTCAGTCACTTTCAGTGGATTTCCACGCAACCTTATATCCTGGCAACATGGTGATAGATCACAGTAAATACTCGTATGACATTCGTCTAATAATCCTATTCCTATCAAAAGAATCTCAAAAAATTATGACAAATACATGTTATGAATGTTAACTGACACCCTGTATGACTATAAGTACTTTAGATTATATATTATATTTTTTGGATCTAGTCAATTTATGTATATTGATAAATACACTTAGTAACATTTTTAACATACATCTACCATACACGCATCTAAAACTATGTATTTCTTTAATTTATTATTATGATGATATTGCTATTGCATGTTATGTACGAAGTGTTCTAGAACGGGCACAACTAGGCCAATTTTTTAATTTATAACACACAGTTTCTAATTGAAGATGCACGAATTTTATTGCTGATTTCTGAAATATATACTTTTTTTAAATTTTCCTCATAAAAATAACTAAAACAACTGGTAAACTTACTAAACGTTCTAGAATCACTATGTATACCAAATGGTCTGTCTATCACTGAAAATGCATGACATTTTGAACTATAAAAATTCGCATCTGAAAGGCTACTCTGGAATAGTGACATTGGTGCCCACAGGGCGAAGCCAGGACTCCTCCCCTGAAAATCTTATTAGCACTTAAAGTTTATTATATTCAGCATGGTTTTGTGTACAATATTGGCGATTATCAGAATTTCATCCTCCCTGATAAAATTTGTTATCTCCGCTCTTTTAAAAGTTTTTGCCCCCCCCCCCGCCCCCGGAAAAAAATAAGCTTGGAAAATAAATTTAAAAGTGTCGTCTTACTTTTTAACATCTTCACTTTGTGCTCGATATTGACATTTTTTGAGTAACACTGTATAAAGCGGGCAGTTCTTTATATGTGTTGTGTGTTTTCAGTGTGTGACTTGACCAATAGTGACATTGGAAACTGCATATACTATACACCTTAGGCAAAAAAGTCCCTTTTTGCTAGTAAAATTGTGATACAAATATTGTCCTTAAAAATTAACTAGAGTATGAATATAGTATAATTCATCTTAGAAGGCTTGTCAGTAACAATATACAGAGGTAAGCTCAAATAACAGAACATGTGTAATCAGAACCGCTAAAACCAATTTAAATTTAAATTATAATTAAAAAATATTTAAAAAACCTGATTAACATCAGTGTCGCTAGCAGCATTTAAAATAAAACAGATACAAAAACAAGTAAATTTGATTATTGGTACAGAGTGTTTCATTGAGAGAGGTAGATATATATTTCAACTGTGGGTAAAATCCGTTGATATGATTATAAAAAATCTATAGTTAATGGGCCTTTAGACTGTTATAACCGACACACTTTTATCGATTTTGATCATTTATTTATGGTCTCACTTTTTACCACTCGATACATTTTTCTGAAACTTGGTTCGGGCACTCAGTTTATGTTATTGAATCCATCATTCGAATAGGAAAAGAAATCAGGTTCGGATTAGTTCAAATTTGACAAAACCGTGTTACCCAAAAGCAACACCCTGCATTCCAATAATGTACTCTTGTTATTTAAGCAGACGATCGAGCTAGACATATTGCTTTTATTGATTTTGAACTACAAACCTGGATACTTGATGGTCTATTAATTTTATTTAAAACTATGTGCGTCACCTTAGTGCAAGATTCAGAAGAAGGACATCTTATCGATCTCATACTTCATCTCTCGATACGATATATACTCGTATACTTTCAGGTTAATATTACGAAATAAAGGTTGACGGTTGCATATTGACACATTGAAGAAATTTTTATTGAGGAACTCTCCAATTTACACGTAGACGATTATCATGCAGCCTGATCATCACTCGTAGTGTAAATGGCAACATTGTCTCGGTGGTACCTATCCATATGTGTATGATTTAATGAAGCTAGGATAGGCTGGAAATGCATACCAAGTCAAATCAAAAATACTAAGGATGTTGTATCGATTTTGGCCATTTCTTTGTGGCGTCCCTACTTTACAACTAACCTGTACATCTTAGCTGGCAATTACATTGTGATATTAATGCGAAAAGAAATACATGTGGAAGTATACAAACTTATTTTATCGAAAAATAACCAGCCATTCCCTGCGTCATTAAATCCACACCACTTGTATGGCTACCACCGAGGCAATATTGCCATTTGCACTGCGGTTGATGATTCGGTTGTGTATTAATCGTGTATATGTAAATTTAAAAGGCTTACTCAATGCAAATATCCTCAATAGATTCACTATTTTTCAGCATTGAATCGGGATTTGCGATGGATTTTCTGGTTGTATGCACCCATGGGCACGCACATACATAAACTTCTAGAGGAATATACATCTTGTGCTTTGTACATAAATGTAATGAAATTCGACCTCTGCAACCGCCAACCTTTAGTTCTTAATCCGGATCTGGAATTATGTTTTTATTGATCGAGATAGACTAGCTAATCAATAAAATGACTTCTAAATCTGACACATATAGTGTTAAATAGTTAATAGACCATATGATGAACATCCTTGTACTCCAAAATGAACAAAATCAGTATCTCCAGTTCATACAAAATCGTCTGCTCAAATGACAAAACTGGGTTGTTGGAACGAGTTTTTGTGCTTTCCAAATATGTGAGCCAAATTTTTACTAGTCAAATCCTGTATCCCTTTTCCAGTCCGTATTTTAGTTGATTTCATAGCTTAAGCTGTGTATGAATACCCCGTTTTATAAGAATATAACGGGTTAAAAAGTAAACTATTTGCCGGTTATACTGCCTCTTTATGGTAAAGACAGTATGCACTTGACGTTATTTCAACTTTCTCTGTATATGGCGATGATAATTTTTTCCGTTTCCAGTTTTGGTGTCCTAAACACATTATTATATGCCATTGATTATGAAATAGGGTAACATAGCTCGCTGTTAATATACTAAGTGACAGAAAATATAACACCGGATGTTCATATTATCAATAAACCCTACTGATGTACTACGGGGTTGGGCAGTAACAAGTACGTTTTAAAAAAACACTGACTGCGGAAGGCAGTGGTCACTGCTCTATTATTTTTGAATTCTCATAAAGTGTCTTGTTCGGAAAGTCCATGTTTACTGCTCTTTAAAGAGATGCAATGATGTATGATGAGGTTGAAGCTTTAGCATAGCCTTGTCTCTAACTACATCCATCAGGTTTGCCTGATTTATACGCATGTAGTTTTTACTTGTAGAAGCTACACCAAGAGCAATAAAATATCTGAAACACTAATCAAACTGGGGAAAACGTTTTGTAAGATACATCAAGTAACAAATCCCGAATGGGCGTAAGTTTTCTGACGTAAATTTCAAAAACTGCTCTACCTTAACCTCCCAGTTGAATGCTTTTTGTGTAGGTTTTTATGTTATAAATTTGAGTTTCGTATTGCCCATTTCACTGCCCACACCCTTAGTTATCACAAAGCTGGCGCTTCAAAAAAAAATTATACCCAGTCGTACATTAAAATTTCAAGAATCTAGAATGAACAGATAATCAAAATAAATAAATCAAAACTGACTGCTTAGCTGCAATAGAAATTATTTAAATAAAACTATCAACAATAACGAATGCCACATATGTTCAATTTTCTTGGTCACTTAGTATATATTTCATTCTTACATACTTTTAAGCTGATTCTACACTGGAGGGCAATTGAGAAAATACTCTCAAATATAGAAAAAGAAAGTTGACATTCCAACTGATGTTTGATACATAATACTTTACTTAGAAATGATTGAAATGAATTCAATCGTTGATTTGTTGAATATTGAAGCACATGAAATTCAAACATACAATGAATGAAAATTAAAGACAGTTTGTACTTTTTGAACGTATTAAAAGTTCATGATTTCCAATTTGACATCACTGGTGTAGTTTCGGTTTAACAGAAGCTCCCTCTATGCTAGACATATTAACAAGAAATAAAGTTCACTATTAAACCTATTGTAATGTACATATACAGGGTGATGAAAATTACACCAAAAATATATGGAAAATCAACGAAAATCATCATTGCAGTCTAAAAAATTACATACTATTTATAACTGCAACTTGAGTGTTTACTGCCAAAAGAAGTTATCTACAGTTTTATGAAATATTTACAGATATAAGCCATCCTCAATTTGGTGTTAAGAACTTTGCACTTCTTATGCTCTCAATTTTATACCCTGAATCAAGGATTAGGGTTGAAATACATTTTTTGTGGTTTCATGAAAATTGATATGAAATGATATAAAGTCTGTTGACATCAAGACCTCGAACTGACAAATGACTATTGCAGTCTAAATTACTTCTAATGACATGATTTCGATGCGATGTCATTTATGAGCTCATGCAGTCATAAAAAAAGTCATACAATCCTCATATTTTTAGTTTTTCCTTTTATTACAATAAACATTTATTTACATTTTTTTTCAGGATTGCATCGATATTTACGATGCAGCTTTTATTGTATGCATGCAAAATACCTAAAAGTCTATAGGAACATGCACCTTGTGTATGTACATAAATGTAATGAAATTCGACCTAGATTCGTAGATATTATTATCGATGAAAAGTATAAAATAATATTGTAGAAAATATTTTGTATATAGAATTGCAAAAGCAATGACAGGCTATATAAATAGAAAACATTAAATTTTCAATAAAAAGAATTAGTTGCATTATTTCAAATTGTCTAGCTACAAAATAAACCGAATAAAATCCTTCAGTAATGTGGAAAAACGGCGTCAAGTAGGTTGACTCTGCACTTCCCACGTAATTTTGCTATTAATTAGATTATGTTAAGTTTATTTCCAGTTCTAACGCCATATGAACTTGATTCAAAGAAATCGATCTAAATGATATATAGAGTCGACCTACTTGACACAAAGTTTATTCAAAAGACTGCTGGGTTAACCTCCGATACAGCACTTGAAGTGGAACCAGCATGTGCTGTGCTTGAGAAAAAAAATAGATTTTTCATCCATAAATTCTACATTCTTCGTAATATACTGAACCTTAAACTAATATTGATGATTTACAAAGCACTTGTGGTGCCCCTTTCGGTATATGGCATATTTGTGCGGGGTGGGATGTACGGTTCAAATCTTGATCCTGGGCAGTTAAAAGTGGTAAAGAACCATATTGTAAGGATTATTCTAAAAAAAACCTAGATTATATCCCACTCTGCAAGAAATTAACAATATTAAAATTTTATAAATATATTCTTGCAGTATGTAGTTTTGTACATGCAAATAAGAAATTAAATACAAATTATGTGTCCCATAATTATATCTTGCACCTAAATTTTACAATTTGATTCCTTCTAATATCAGGAGTATTGAAAATAAAAAGCTTAAGGTTTCGTTTAAAACGATCTGTTGGAAAATCGTGAACAATTTATGCGTTTATTTTAAGTTGCTTTGAGCTGGAATGATCTGTCAATTTGTTTCTTTTCTTTTTTTTGTGATACGTTTTTTCTGATGTTCTAATGTTTACGTAAATGCTCCAAAGAGATTGGGTGGTGGGAAAACGCCTGAGTATATTCCAACCAATGACGACGCAGTACGAATAGCGGTACCGGCGTACCAGACGCTGCGGGCTAACGCGCGTCGGCGTCAGTTCAGTTGTCGATTGGCGTTTGGGGAGCGTGGTACGTCGAGCCCTCCATGCAACGCTCTGCTTCTGTTCCACTCGTTACGTGCCGGGAAGTCTTTGTCGGCGATTTTCCGCGGGGTCGTCGTGTCGCGATGGTGGTGTAAGTGATTTTGTGGTAATTGTGTGTTAAAATGTGTTGTGGTTGTTCATGAAAGGCGAGTGGAGTATTTTCACGTCGGATATTGAGCTTCCTTCCGATCATCCTGGGCTGAATGTCTTTATGGCAAACTAGGTGAATTAACCATAGTTATCTACTTCTGTGTTAGCTTCGAGCTCGTAATGTCAAGATTGACTTATTTTGTTGTGGTCAAAAGTCATTAGCAATTTTTCTCTAAAGTTAAATGTTTTCATGTTAGAAACGATTAAAGTTCTGCGAAACCTGAAAAATGTTGATCTTCAATGCTTTGAAACGCCGGTTAAAATCATCGTCTAGTTGAATTTCGCACCGTTTCCTTCAAGACTTTGACGATTATTTTAAGATTAGCATATCTTAAAGTATTATTACTTAATTGTTAGCAACGCGAGGCGCTAATGCGTATTCCAGTGCGCGTTATTATTATTAACCCTTAACTACCATTGCCAAAAACAGTAACATTTATACCATGGCAGGGACAAATTTAACCCCATAGTTTCTTTTTCACATAAAAAATCTAATTTTGTAACTTGTTGTTTTTATGTTGTTATTTTGTTTTCAACTAGTTTTACAATTTTATAAAATAAAACGAATACGTTTAGTTATAACTTTATTAAAAAAAACTTCGGTATCCAGTGAAATTAACAAAGATGTGCACTTTCTAAAATTATAAGAAAAATTTTAGTTTTCTTGTATTCAGTGGTGAATTTTAGGTATCATAGCTGCAACCTAAAATAAAAAAAAAATGATTTGGATTTCGTATCTAAAAAATGACAAGCATTTTTTTGACCTTACTTTTCAACACAACTTATGCATAACGACTTTGTGTGGGCTTGATTTTTGCAAATAAATTCTCGACATTTATCACACGATGAGCTTTCTTTCTTTTGATTTTTAGAATATGGCCATATTTTATACCTTCCCCTCCACTGGTTCCTGAAGTCCGGAAACTTTAAAAATGACACTACGAAGTTCTCTCGGTAAACACGCCGAGCTCAACAAGTCAAATGGCCCTTAATAAGTTCTTGACCTAAAGTGGTTAGAAATCATTTTTTGCGCATCCGCTTCAAGTTCTTTCTGCGTCAGAGCACGTGTATTGCCACTACACCCCACAATATCAAATTACTCGCTACTCGCACTAGTAACACTTATAAGTCAAATTTGACCCTACCTGTGTCTAACTCTGCAGTGGCAACAGATAAATTAATGGAATTTTTGTGGATCAATAAATCACCTACCGATCGAAGATTAGCAGAACGTGCGCAGCGCGCCATAAATATTTTGGTAGCGAAACTTGGCATACAAAACGTGGAGGGTCAAATTTGACTCCGCCATTGTACTTAAGGGTTAACAATGAAATAACAGCATTTCAAAAATACGCCAAGTAGGAGAAGGTTTGAATTTTAATTAAATAACATGAGAGAACATTTTTAGGGTCTTTCAATCCTTATAATTCGAAAACGACGCTTTTAGGGTGAGAATATTTTTATTCACAATGATCCAAAGAATCTAAACACACTTTGTACGGGCCAAAAGGATGTTTTTTGTAGTTTGTAATTGTTTACACTTTGCAGCGAGTTACCTCTCGGCAACCTTATGATTCATTCAAAAATCGAGATGGAAAATTTATCCCACGACTTTTTTCGCCTCGTCGATAGTAAATGTAAATACATAATAAGTAGCATACTATCATGTACAAAAACTTGCAAGAAAGTGAGATTAATGTACGTAAATACCGATTGTATTACGTGTTCGCATTCTATCTCTCGTATATAAAGTTGTTTACAATTTTTTGTAAGAAATAAATACCTCCATACAATCGATATTTTTAAGAGGATGAATTATGAAGATTTGCCATCCATTGCACTGTATTCATGTTGTATCTGGGCTTGCATTCACTACGTAGCAGCAACAGTGCGAACTAAAGAAAGGGATTTCTTTGCCAAAGTCCTATAGGACTTTGTTTATTATTGGCAGCAGGCCAAAATCCCAGATCTTTACTTTCAAATATTCTGGCAATATTATACATCACTCTTTAATTCTCTGAGTAGAACTTTTTTTTTTGAAGTATGTCCCAAAACCAAGGACTAATTCTTTGCACTTAAATCGTTTTCGTTTCGAAAGTACAGGGTGAATAAGAATTTTGGAAACGTAACGTGTCGCAAGTGTAGGCCGATAAATACTTCGATCGTATTATACAGGGTGTCTCAGAAATAACACGCCAGAGTGACATGGGAGCTAGATTGGCTTCAGATCAATCAGATAAAATCAACATGATGTAAACGTTTTCTATTTTATAAATCAGGTGATAAATACTCTATGAATAACTATAGGCCAATATCTGTGATCAGCATTTTATCTGAAATTGTCGAAAAAATTATCAAGAAAAGAGTGATGTCTTTTATAGAGGAAAACACATTAGCAGACAGTTACCAGTATGGGTTCATAAAAAACAGTAGTACGCTTGCAGTTGCAGTTGATTTTGTAAATTACATCTCAAGGGCTTTGGATGAAAAACTAGTGGTTATAGCATTGCTTAAAGGTTTAAGAAAGGCGTTTGATGTGGTAGATATTTATATATTATTGAATAAGTTACAAATATGGGATTTATTGGTACTGTGTATAATTGAATTAAAACTTATTTACTTAACAGGAAACAATATGTGAAAATTGGTGAAACAACTATTGAGTGGTTATCTAGTGACTGTGGTGTCCCCCAGGGGTCTGTCTTGGGTCCACTATTATATTCTTTAAACAGAAAAATAAAATAATCTAAAACCCCTGTTTAAGAATAAATAATGTTATAATAGAAAAAGTATCGAGCACCAAATACCTGGGTTTAAATATCGATGAGAACTTGAATTGGTATAGTCACATATTTTTTGGATAAAACAACATCGATGATAGCTGCTTTGTACCGAAGCAGAGACTACTTAACTACAAAAAGTAAAATAAATATTTATAATGCATTTTTCTTAGCACACTTTAGATATATGTTACCTATTTGGGGAATGTGTTGTAAAAATGAATTTCATAAAGCACAAGTTTTGCAAAATAGAATATTAAGAATTTTGTTCAACTATGATCGACTTGCCAACACGGACAATATGTACTCAGAATTGAATGTTTGTAAACTAGGTAAGCTGTTGGAATTAGAACAATGTAAAATGATCTTCAAAATTTTAAACAACCAACAGAAGTGTAATACAAACATTTTGATCACACATGAGGTGCATGACCATGAGACAAGATCACATATAGAATCAAATAACCTTGTCACTGATGCAGTAAAAACGTATAACAACCTACCAAATAATATAAAAAAGTACATGTATTCAGAAATTATGTAAAGACACTCAATAGACACTGGAATTGTTGAATTTATTGTAGCTAAAATTCGCACTTCAAGTATTGTTGTTCTCGAAATCAGTGTTTTAAACACAGATTAGAAAACCTTGTTTCCTATAAAATTTTTAAAAATTGAATATTGAATAAAGATTTGTTTAAAAAAATTTTTTTTCCTAGTTATTGTCACTTTTGACCCTTTCTTATGTCACGTGAGTAGCACTAAACACTAGGAGCAGTACTTAATTAATCCTGCGCTTGCGATGCGCAGGTACCACCTCTGTTTGTCGTGGTGATATAATGCTACCACCGAACAATGAATGTGAGAGCCAGATAGTCCATGACATGTTTAGGTCCTAGTGATTTGATTACAAAAGACGGCTGTACTTATCTTCTATTTGCAGTATTTCGACTTCAGTGATAAAACTTCGGGTTATTCAATTGTTAGTAGAAAGAACCTACAAATGTTATACTATTTTTAAAAGAGCATTAAACATTGAAACAAAATGTAAAAATTTATTTTTTTTAGCATACCGTGCTAGTTTTCAATGAAATGAATACTCGGTTATCTCAACCACCTATTAATGCTGGGTCAGGAAAAAATCATAAGTTAGAAGTTCTTTATAGCCATAACATGCAAAAAGGGAGCAAAAGATAGTGATGAAAAAACAAAGTGTCAATATTTCGAAAACTAGAAAACTTTTACTAAGGTCTTGTTGATTTTACCTGATTGATCTGAAGCCAATCTACCTTCCAAGTTACTCTGGTGTGTTATTTCTGGGACACCCTGCTTGTGTTGTCACACGAATGGAATGGATATCTTACGGAAGATCTGCTTTAGTAGACCTTATGCAATATTAGGATAATTAATAAACAGTAGTAAAAAAAGAGTATGTAATAAAAGCTAAGCTACAAAAACCCAAACGTATTTGTTTCCTTATGGAACTACCTGCCTTTATAATTCATACTGTTAAACAATAAAAATATAGCTTGCTGTAAGATTGTCGCTAAGTAGTGGTTTCTAAAATATTCGGAAATGTTCGTTTTTCTTTTGCAAAAATGCTCCATAAGGACAAGGATACTCATACAGGAAAATAAAGTGATTATTTATTGTCTTACGACAATTTTTCACTATCATATTTTGATAATTTATTGGCAGTGGCTCATCGTTGGTAACTACTACCTCCACGGACGTGCAAGGGGTATCTTCCACGTGCGTGCGAACCAGTTTTAATAAAAGGTGTTAATATATTGTACCTAAATATTTTATTTATACAGGGTGTCCCAGAAATAACACGCCAGAGTGAGACGGGAAGTAGATCAATCAGATAAAATCAACATGACCTTAGTGAAAGCTTTCTAGTTTTCGAGGTATTCCCACTTTTAAGTTTTTTAAAAAATCCCTACTTTTTGCTTCTCTTTCGCCCGTTATGGTTATAAGCTTTTATAGCATGCGAACACGTTCGATAGAATAATTGTGCCACCGGAATTTCCTGCCCAAAGTGTCAGAGTGATAGATTTAATAACGTAGTACTTGCATACTCATGTTGTTTCTACTTGTTCCAGGGACTAGAGCAGTTTGCTGAAATGTAAGTGCATTTAGGGTTTTCTTATTGGTGTCGGGTTTACAGGCGACTACGACACCGAGAACTGCGAGGCTGTAACTCCTACTGGTTGACGACTCCTAATACTGCCCTCGCACAGACAGGGTGCCCCATTTAGATAGTTAGGAATCACTAAGAGAAGCCGTTAGTTGAGTAGAAAAGTCAGGAAAAATAATAACAAAATGCTATCAGACGGTTGGAAACTTTGAAAGTAGAGAGAATCGGAAGAATCATATAAAACGTACGCTTCAGAAACTCCAAATAAGCGGTTGGTAGTAGCTAGTAGCTACGGAAAGGTTAGGAATTTTGTTTGGGCACACTGCGATGTGGGGGCACGGCGAGGTATACAGACAACATGCTCTGGCTCATATGCACGGGCACATCGAGGGATGCAGATGCCGTTGCGCATGCGGGGGTACATTCGAGGCAAATGTGTTTTCATCAATAGGACTTGTGTGTAATAGATTTTGACAATTTATCGACATTTTTTTTTCGTACTGCGAGACGTGCAAGCGATATTTTCCATGTGCGTGCGAACCAGGTTATATAACAGGAGTCAATATATTAAAGTGAAATATTTTATGTATATTCATTTGTTCAGCCAGATATTCGAAAACATGAGTACAATACAATGGAAGCAATTAAACTACAAAATAATACCAGCGTAATTTTTTTAGATAGAAGAAAGCTTTATAGTCGTTAGCTTATGGAGACGCATTTTCTGCCCAAACTGTGACAGTGGCAATTGTAATAACATAGTACCGCTGTTTATACTTTTTACAGAGACTATAGCAGTTTGCTGAAATGAAAGTGCATTTATGACTTTCTGCCTCCAGACATGGTGCCTCTTTTTGGTTGGCCATTCTGCGATGTGGATGCACAACGAGGGACAAAGTTAACACTCCATCATGACCTTGCTCATCATCAGCGGCAAATATGTTTTTATATTTTATACAGGACTTTTATGTTTTAGGTTTTCTCATACCTTTTTCTAAGGTACTATTGGGCTTGGTTATTGCCTTCAAATACCAAAGCTGTCATAAACTTCAACGATTGCACAGTGCAAAAGTCCGTCAAGAAGAGGGAAAAGTGAAGGAAATAATTTCTCTGGGTCCATGGCCGAGCTGTTAAACAGGGATCCAGGATTTAAAAGAACATCGCTAGGTATTAATATGTTGTTAATGTAAGTAGGTATACGCAAGTATGGTCACAAGATGCACGATATACTCCAGCTACTGCATTAAAAACAATTATTACTTTTTTCTGAAGAAATGTTACTCGAGACATGTGGCTAATCATTTTCGAAGAGTTTTGGAAAACACATGGCTGACGTAAAATCGTTCAGTGTTTCTGAGGGGTGAGATATGTGAAAAGTTCAGGTTTCATAAGTAACTTGATAAGAAGGTAGTAGGAGTAGTTGTAGCAGTAGTAGTAGTAATAGTAGTAGTAGTAGTAGTAGTCGTAGCTCTGGTAATACTTAGTAATAGTAGGGCTAGTAGCAGATTATTACGGCTAGCATGCAAGGTGGTTTGTAAAACTTAGGTACTCACTCCAGGTTGTCGCCCCACGATGGTCTCCAAAACTATATTTATTAATATATACTTTTTAATTATATTTGGTATTCACTATTTCTATTTCACTATCAACAGCTTATTTATTGACAAAATATATTTACAAGTAAAATGGTTCTTATTCTTAGGTGTTTCATAGGTATGTTGTCTTTGATTATTTATGCTTTAAAATCGTAGCGCAAGTTCTTAGTTTGTTTCAGCTTTTAGGAGAGAGTGAGAACATTCCGTATTTCAGGAAGTGTGATGAACTATGATAAATATTGATGATAATGGTGTAGTCATTATAATTTTACTTTTTACTCACATTTCGCATTTACTTTTTTTTAGGTGCATATTTTACGAACATATCTATTTTTAGCTAAGATGTGATTGCACATTTCTTATTTTTACGTAGTTTACAGACTTGCTAAAACTTGCAGGTTTTCTTTCAGAATTATAGCCCAAATATTTTTATCGAGCTTTGGTGGGGACACTTCAAATTTTAGGAATGGTACAAGTTTTAGATACTCCCGAGCGTGATAAACGTGATATAATGAATATTGATGATAATGGCAGCTGTCCCAAAAAATGTTCTGCCTGGATAGCTGGAGGAATCTTTCATGGGCATACACAAGTAGAGAGAAGAGGAACAACAAAAGCATGTTAAGAATGATTAAAGCCCCCGATTTATACAGCAATATATGAAGACAGCAATCAAACGAATATCAAAATATTTACAGGGTAAGCATTGGAGAGTACGGCATCAAGAAGGTTGGTTTTGATCCTGACGAACCGCTGAAGCATATATACACCTGTTGAGGATCTTGGAAACGTTCCCAATAGATATATTTTCGAATATCACCCTAAGAAGGCCAAGCGCTTTCCACTCAAAACTGTACTTAAATTTATGCTATTTTCCATGAAATACAGATTCAACCTTCTTGATGTTTCAAAATAAGCAGAGGTGTTATTTAAATGTACTTATGTGAATTCTCTTTGCAGATAAACGTGTGGATAATAGTAGTATGGTCTACTCAATATATTGATGAAGTTTTACGAAATATTTGCAGCCAGATTCCAAGCAAAAGCTTCTAAAAACGATTTCCATACGTTTGAAGAAATTCAGGAACATATTTGGGAAACTAACATGATGACGCCAAAAGTTATATTTCTTCACGCCCTTGAAGATGATTGTATTCTGATACATGTAGACCGAACATCAATTGAATTGATAATTGAAATGATGAAGAGGTAATTTTTACATAATCTTGAACTTATTATTCTTCATATTTCACTCAGGTCTTACCTGATAAGTCGAGCTTATCAGGAAATACAGGATATTCGAAAAAAGAGAGATACTTCAGAGGGTGATTCCTTATTAAAAAATATAATTATTTTTTTATTAATACCTCAAAAAGCATTTACTCGATTCTATTGAAACTTGAAAGTGTTATTTTTGTATTAAGAGGCACATTTAGCCCTAAATAGATAACAATTATTAGGTCCAGTGGTGTTCCGGGGGCACCTTAGCGAATATTATTGGAAATCAAATTTACGCCACTGCCTTTTTTGTAACTGTAATATTTGTTGCTTGATTAAGCATCTAAAAATACAACTTCCTTGCCTTTTGTATTTTTTTCGTATCTCACTTCGTGTTCGAGAAAAAAAATATAAACCGTTTCATTACATGTCACTGGACGGAATTGGTTTATTAATTTTATAAATAATTTTAACAAGGAAACACCTAAAATATTTCCGTCTATTTTTCGAACACCCGTGTAACTTTTGAAATCTATTGCAAAATGCAGCGGCGCCACCAAATTTTATTTTTCTAACACCTTTATGAGAAAGAAATCAGTGAATTAAGAGGGGCGTTTTTGAAGTAAGAACCAATTGCGCGCCGTGAATATCAAAGGTATTGTAATTTTTGGTGACACCAGCTGTCATGTTTTGCCGCAGACAAGCTCGAAAAAACTGCTGACAGGTGCTGTCTTACTAATTTTTCCATCTAGAAACTATTTGTAATCGAAAATTGTACATTTGTAACTGGTAGAAAGGAAGATGAGGGAAATAGTCGATATGAAAACCACAGGATGTATATTGCTCAGTACACTAGTAATGATGGCCGGACAACAGGTGTTTTGTTGTTGTTATTTAGAAGTATGAATCCTACGGATTTGAAGAATTTCAGATAGTTGCCTGAAATTATCGTCGCATTACCAACAAATGCCAAAACCTGCATTCTGCCTCGATTTTCGGCCATTTTCATTTTGTAGATCTCATAAACACGTAAAAATCTTATATGAAAAGTTTTTTCTTTCCTGTCAACACTTTCGATTGAATCCCAAAAAACACGTTTTCTCATTCTTTGTTGTCAAATAAAAAGTTTTCCGACAAAAATTGCTGTACCCATTTTATGCGTCCATGTTTTAAATACCCCCTTGAACAACTTGTACCAGACCTCACAATTATTTCGGACTAAACTAGATAAAGATTTTTTTCAACACATATGCGGTTTCGATTGGCCAGAGAACTATCGGGGATTATCATGAGTAATATCAAGTAATTTTTCTGAAAAAAAAATCGAAAAAACACGTTGCTAAGAAATATTCTTTTTGTTGAAAAAATATTACTTTGCATTGTGCTTTTTCGGTTTTTTTCACAGGAAAAAAAATAGATGCCCGAATGGTATTTGACAAGACTATTATGAGTAACAGATTATTCTGCATACACATAACTTAAAAAACATACTACCATTGTTTAGCGTCATTTTCTGGTGTCCTAGGGAAAAAATAAAAATGCTCATATTTTATTTTGTGATACAATTTGCATTCATAAATAAAATTGATCTGATTGCAAAACGGTTCTTACTTAAAAAATAGCCCTCGTATAAACCGTTACTTCAATGCTACTTTTTTTTAGGTTAATAACTGTGGCATGTTGGCGATTTTCGATTGTGCAAATGAACCCAGAATTATGGAACGATATGATTTTTCTTCACCTGATACAATTGATCTTAGCAGTGACGGTTGAGGTTTTCTAGGGGTTTTCCTCGCCCGAGTGCGAATGCAGTCACTAAAAAACTACGTTCCCCTAATTAATAGTAGATAAAATGAAAATTGAACTTATCCTATTAATGATGTAATGTAATTTTAGATTAAATAGTCATTAAATATATTTATATAATAAAATTGTTGTTTTTTCCACTTGATGATAGAAGTCCCGTATGCATAGGCAAAAAAGCATTTTATCCTATCCAAAGCATATATAAAACTGGGAATTTATAAAAGTGTTTAGAGTCATAACGTTCTCTCGCAAAGAAGCCGGGTCTGGTCGGTATGGCAATTCATAGCACGGATTCACAAAAAATTCATTCAGCGATAGAATTGAACTTGCAGAAGATTTCGATACTTATTCATTACTCAACGAATAAAAACACTTTGAACTTGTAAAACTGTCTGGTATTTGCAAGTAACTTCTCACCACGGATTTATCAAAAAAAGATGTATCAAGGGGAACAACTTTTTAAGCAAAAACTAACTACTTCACCGTCGCCCCCCCTCCCCAAGGGTCATTCTATTGAAAATTTTAAATCACAAGGGGCATCGAGTAATAGGTTGTTTGAAAGGTATTTCGAAGTTCTTTATTTTGACGTTGGATTTTTTAAAATCAATCGATTCGTTTTCGAGAAAATTAGAAAAATCTTAATTTTTCTTAATTTGTTCAAAATGTTGCCCATCAGGGTTTGCCAAATCTACAATTCGTTTACAATTTAAAACGGTAACTACCAAAAATCTGATTTTTTTCCGCATTCTTTTCATCAACACAGATATCCTGGGCGAATTGTATTTATTGTTATACCTGTTTAGTTATTTGTTGCTAAGGAAAGGAAAGAATTCAATTTGCTGTCAGTTACCTTTGTGACAATCTTGGGATAGTGAAAATTAATTTAATGATTCAGATTTTACTTCCAGAATGTGTTCTATAACTTAATATACGATCGTTTATGTATTATTTATGTTTTAAGTCTTCAAAAATAGCCCTTACCGTCCGTTCATGGTTGTAGCACTCAGAAACACACAGAAAAAACTGAAAACACTAAGAACGTACTCAAAAAAATTAAGGAAGCAAGAAAAAAAATCAGTAACTTTTGACTGGTTGCTTTTCGATGAGAAAAAGTCGTAATTAGACTTTGAAAAAAGCATTAAGATTCGAGTTTTCAGGAGTTTAGCCGAAAAATTTCAGAAGCAACGTAACAGCACAAGGAAAAATTTTCGGGCTTCAAAAAATGGTATATCCGGACCTATTGGTCGAAGTTTGAAAGACATCAAACGAGCAAAAATTTGGCATCAAAAAATCCTGTAATCTGGTTCAAAATGGAAAAATCATTTTTCATCTTCTGTTGTCACTTTTGGATATCTGTAACAGCTTCAATTTTGAAAATAGCAATTAGAAAAATGTTGTGTATCCATGGAAGATTCCAATAAAACAAAAATACTAACCAGTGGCGGATCTAGAAAATATTCAGCTGAAATATATAGGATCCGACAATCAATTTGCATCATTTTCAAACTCTAAGCAATCAATCCGGAGAAACCGTACAATGGATCGATCTGCCGTCGTTATTAGTTGTACATTAAGGTATCAAAACATTAGCCTTGTCATTAGCAGTTCTAAGAGTGCGGTCGATTTTCCAAAACAAGTAAAAAAATAAGTTTTTTTCCGTTTGAAAATCAAAGGAAAGAAAGAGAGATATTTTCCTCAAAGATTGCAACCAAATCTTATGGGAGATTTATTCCAGTTTTCGTGAATACATTACATTCTCTGCGGGATCACTAGTTACCGAGATATCACGCCAAATGATCATATCGAGATTTTAAAAACAGGATGTTGAGGCTGAATAAACTGATCTGATCAATATGATAGCCTGACAGAAAAAAAATTGTTCAAGCTCGTGTACTAAAAAGAAGGCAAACATGTTTCAAAAAATTTCGCTTGCGCTATCTATTAAAATTGCGTGAAACTGTTGCTCCTAAAAAGTTTCGTCTAAAGAAATAAAACTAGAATCCTACATTTTGAAAATGCCTTTTTTAAAGTCTAGATATGACCATTTTCACCGAAATACAGCCTGTCAAAAATGAAAATTTTAATGTTTTTCTTGCTCCATTAATTTGTTTGAGTAGTGTACTTTTTATGCATGCAAAATATTAATATTCCGTCGAAATAAGAATTTCGAAGAACACCTAACTGTACAAGCTGCAGCTTTAGATAGAGTAACTGATCACTCATTTGCTTCTCGGAAATAATAAATATGGAAATAAAAGATGTCAACACAATGAAAACATTTTATTCTGTACCCTTTATATAAATAAGTAGAAATGTACAGAGTGTAACAGTATGGTGCTGTCTATCACAAGAATATCATGAAATGAACAGAAGCAAAAATATCACGATAGCTATCTATATACAAATTCAAAAATAAATTCTTTAGAAAAAATCAAATTATATATCGTCATCATTCAAATTTGATAACGTTCATTTTCGTTCTATCAGGTAACCAAGTAAGTTCGTGCGGTTGCTGTATATCGCACATTGCCATGGATGTTGTTGATCGATAGGTTCTTCGACAGGTTGTGGACGCAAATTCCAGGACAACGTGCCAAGAACTTGCAAAAATATTCAGAGTAAGTTCTGGAACTATTCTTTTGCATCTTCATCAGCTAGGAAAGACGTGGAAACATTCCACGCAACGTTAATGAACCATTTCTTAATCGGTTATTAAACTGCGACGAAAAATGGATCTTGTATTCGAATTCTAATCATTCGTACCATAGGTTGTCGCCTACTGATTCGGTACTACACACGCCCAAGTCTTTCTTGCATCCAAACAAGGTTTTGTTGTGTGTTTGGTAGGCAGCAACTGGAATTGTCCATAATGAGTTTTTGGAACGGGGTCAAACCATCACTGCTAACTTGTATTGTGAGCAGCTTCAACGAGTACAAGCAGCACTCATCCAGAAACAGCCTTCTTTGATCAATCGGAAGAAAGTGATATTCTTGCAGGATAACGCCAAACCTCATACCGCAAAATTAAAGCAAGAAAACATTTCTGAACTCGGCTGGGGAACGTTACAGCACCCACAATATTCTCCCGACATTTCGCCCAGTGGTTATCACCTTTTTTTGTCTCTAGACAACTGTATGAGGCACCGACAGTTCACAACTCGAGATGGTGTAATAAATGCAGTCCGCCAATTTTTTTACTCCAAGTGTAGGGAGTTCTACAATACCGACATACAAAAATTGGTTCCACGTTGGCAAAAGGTCATTGAATGTGATGGTAATTACTTCGATGAAGAAATAGTGTCTTATTGTTTCTCAATAAAAAATTATATTTTTCTACTAAAAACCGCACGAACTTATTTGGTCACCTGATATTAGTATCTCGGCTTTGTTACATCAAAAATTTGATATGAAATTAGTATTAGAGTATTAAACAGAAATATTTCATAGAGCAATCAATTTATTTCATTACAGCTCTAAAGTGGCAGTAATTCCAGTTTTTTTGAATCATCCTATTAGAGTTGTGGCAGATACCGAGTCGATGCTTTCACACTTTTTTAGAAATAATCAAAGATTATAATCACAGGTCCAACAGAAATATTACAAAGGTGTGATATTTATTGCTGGACATCATATATGTACTACATATATTTTTGTTACATTGTCGAAAATTGGCTTACGATAAATAGATATAACCTTTCTAGTTCTACATATCTTTTAGAGCATAAAAACATGAAAATCCTTAGATCGCTAAGATAAAAGTACGTCTAGTTATTTGGTTATTTCCAATGGTAAAAAGTAGCCAATGCGCTATTCAAGAATATAATATAATATGTTGCAAATTCCATCCAGATCCTTTCAGAATTTTGGCGTGATTAAGTAGGTACCCTTTTTCAGGAGTATCCATCACGGGAGAATGACAGCTGTTTATCTAGTAATAACTCAAAATTCCCCAGATCGGCACAGGACACATAATTCTGACGGATCCGTCAACGTCGTGTAGTCAGAGTCGTATTTTGTTTTGTTTTACGTACGCTACAGACGTATTTTGTACTTGCTAAAGGCCTATTCATACTTAGCCGTGACGTGAAAGTGCTGTGACCGGCACGTGATTCGCCCGGCGAAACTAAAAACATTCTTCCTCGAATTTGGATGAACTGATTCACATTAGACCGGCACGTGTTCTCAGTACCCTCGACGACACCGTACCGTGATCATCGCATTGTTTTGGAACGATGGAACGATATTTTTAGAATGTGTGCATGTTGCATGCACACGTGTCCCCTCGCCAGAGTCCGTGTGGAGTCCCCCCTTTTCTCTGTGTTTCCCCTTATAGCACTACGGTACCCCATGGATGTTTTGGCCTTAGGCCGTTGTGGTAGTTGGAGTATACAAAAAATGCAGAATTAATGCAATAATTGCAAGTTCATCATCTGAAAATTTTGCCATCTCAACCTCACGAGAACACAACTGTACTGTCAGAGCACGGAAAAAAGACTGACCGGTGTGAATTGAAAACATTGTGATCTCACGTCAGCGAGAATCACTGGCACGTCACGGCTGTGTGTGAATAGACCTTTACAGCTCTCTTATTTAGAAAAGTTAATTTGCATACAAAAAACAAAACGCTACAAGCAAGCTTGACTCGATTTACAGCCGGTTCATTATTGCCAACGTCCCAGACAAAAATCTCACTTGCTGATCAGCTGTTCACCTCAGTAGACGTCAAAGCGTCATTGATACTCGTAAAATAGGTATAACAAACATTCATACTTACTCATTTATAATATTTAGTAGGGTTATACAGAGATACTCAGAAAAATTTAAACTTACCAGCTTTGGATAACAATATATCCGCATGCATCCAAAAGAGTAATAAGACAATCCTCACTGATTTTAAGTTTATCCCGGCTATACCAAATGTAAAAATCACTCGGACACTCAAATCACATCTCACTTACACTTTTCGCCTATTATGATCAAGTCTTCTCCATACATATTCAAAACTTCCACTCCTGAAAAGGCCGCGACCGCGAAATTAATTTCAAATAACTGAATAAATCTCAGTGGTTGTATGTACGTCAAATTTATTAGAATTGA